TGTTCCCAAATTACAATGCAACCTCATATCAGTTGCTCAATTACTTGCTGATACAAATTGCATCATTTCTTTTACTCACAATGGCTGTGAATTGCAGGACCCCATAACGAGGATCAAGACTGGGCTGGGTAGATTGCAAGCTGGTGTTTATGTGCATGACTCATCCAACAACAAATCCATCTCTACTGCATGTGCGGCTCACACTCAACAGAATGCAGATGTTTGGCACCGTCGATTGGGTCACCCTTCATTTCAGTTTTTAAGCTTTCTTCCTTTTGTTACAGTGAATAAAAATAGGGGTCATTCTCCTTCAGTTTGTGACATTTGCCTACGCGCACAACAAACTCGTACTGTATTCCCTATTAGCATTAATAAAACTACTGCATGCTTTGATCTTATTCACTGCGATATCTGGGGTCCATATCAAACTACCTCTCTAACCGGTGCAAGATATTTTTTAACAATTGTGGATGATTATAGCAGAAACGTCTGGGTTTATTTAATGACCACCAAGTCTGAAACGTTCCAATACTTAACTCGATTTCTTCTCATGGTACGTAATCAGTTTAATACCATGGTCAAAATAATACGCTCCGACAATGGATCAGAATTTTGTGCTCATAATCTCCGCAAGGTTTATTCCGATATGGGAATTATACATCAAACATCATGTGTAGACACACCACAGCAGAATGGTCGTGTTGAACGGAAACATAGACATATTTTGAATGTTGCAAGAGCATTACGCTTTCAAGCTAGTCTTCCTATCGAGTTTTGGGGTGAATGTGTTCTAACTGCGGTACATTTAATCAATAGAACCCCCACTCCTCTTCTCCAAGGAAAAACACCATATGAATGTCTTTTCAACCGCACACCCAGCTATGATCATATTCGCATATTCGGATGTCTTTGCCATGCTCATCCACGTCCCAAACCGTTGGACAAGTTTGCAGCTCGATCAACTCGGTGTCTGTTCCTGGGATATCCTTTTGGCAAAAAGGGTTGGAGGCTTTATAACCTTGAAACACATACTGTTTTTGTATCCAAAGACGTGGTATTTGAAGAGAACACCTTTCCTTTTGCACCAACCACAGTCATTCCTACCACTGATATTCCTCACGACCCAAACCCCCATAACCCCATTTCACCCGAACCAAACCTTGCTCCACAAAGCCCATCCTTTGATTCCCAAGTTGTTACCAACCCTGTCCCTTTAATTGAAGACACTCTCCCTGTTGAACAGGCTCAGCCCGAATCTGCCCCTACTGTCTCCAATGAGCTTTCTATCCGACAAGAACAGCCCCCAGAAGTCACACATCCATCTGCACCTTTGGGACGTGGTCACCGTTCTCGCCGTCCTCCATCATATCTCCAAGATTTCGAATGCTCCAAAGTCATCGCACATAATCCACTAGCTTCTTCTACTTCTTCCAGTCCTTCCTCAGGTATGGCTTATCCTATTGCTAACTTTGTTTCTTGTTCTAGATTCTCTCCCAAACATCAACAATTCCTTGCTGCCATTTCTTCTGGTGTTGAACCAAAAACATTCAAGGATGCTGTAACTGATGAAAGGTGGCGTGTAGCAATGCAAAAAGAAATAGATGCCCTTGAACAAAATCACACGTGGGAACTCACTTCTTTGCCACCAGGAAAACGTTCCATTCCATGCAAGTGAGTATACCGCATTAAGTACAACTCAAATGGTACAGTGGAGAGATTCAAAGCACGGTTGGTCATTGCTGGTAACAATCAAATAGCTGGAGAAGAATACTTCGATACATATGCTCCTGTAGCCAAAATGGTGAGTGTCCGAACACTTCTTGCGGTAGCTGCTGCCAAATCATGGCACCTATACCAGTTGGATGTTACGAATGCCTTTCTACACGGAGACCTTACCGAAGAAGTTTACATGCGCGTTCCACAAGGTTTCAATCATCACAAACCACATCAAGTATGTCGCTTACGTAAATCTCTCTACGGTTTGCGGCAGTCCCTCGCAATTGGTTTGCTAAGTTGCGGTCTTCCATTGAATCATATGGCTTCATCCAATCCAAGGCAGATTACACCCTATTCACCTTACACAAAGATGGCCACTTTGTTGCTCTTCTCATCTACGTTGATGACATTATTCTAACGAGCGACAATGATGCCTTATGCACCGATGTCAAGGTCTTTCTCCAGTCATGCTTTCACATCAAGGATTTGGGGATTCTTAAATATTTTCTTGGCATCGAAATAGCTCACGGTCCATCAGGTCTTTTTCTGAGCCAACGAAAGTACGCTCTCGACATATTGGAAGACGCTGGTCTCCTTGCGTGCAAACCATGTGCCTTCCCTCTCGAAACAAATCATAAGCTTGCAGTTACAGAAAGTCCTCCATTCTCGGATCCCGCACGTTACAGAAGACTCATAGGACGTTTGGTTTACTTGACAATTACTAGACCTGAGTTAAGTTACTCTGTCCATGTTCTTTCCCAGTTCATGCAAAATCCTACTATTGCTCAATATGATGCTGTCATCCGTGTTTTAAGGTACATCAAAACTGATCCTGGCCAAGGTTTACTCCTTCGATCCGACAATGATCTCCTTCTTCGTGGATATTCTGATTCGGATTGGGCTAGCTGTCCACTCACCCGTCGATCAGTTACTGGTTATTTTATCATGTTGGGTACTTCTCTTATCTCTTGGAAAACAAAGAAGCAACCCACAGTGTCTCGCTCCTCCGCTGAAGCTGAGTATCGTTCAATGGCAGCAGCTACAGCTGAGTTGTTATGGATCAAATCGTTTCTGGACTCGCTTGATGTTCTACATTCACACCCTATGCAGTTGCACTGTGATAACCAATCTGCCATGCAAATAGCTGCTAATCCAGTTTTCCACGAACGTACCAAACATATAGAGATTGATTGTCATTTTGTACGCGATCATGTTCTCAGCAATACAATCACTACTACCTACGTTCGTACAGATCAGCAACTCGCAGACATATTTACCAAACCGCTTGGCATGAAGCAATTCAGTTTTCTTCGCAGCAAGTTGGGCATTTCGTCACTTCATGCTCCAACTTGAGGGGGCGTGTTAGGAGAAGATCACCTTTGATCTTATCCTTTAGCAACTAAGTCCTAGTTTTTAGCAAGAATAGTTTGTTATTATTCCATGTATAGTTTGTTGAACAGTATACTTTATTCTAGTTGATCCTCCTTGATTCTGTATAACCGACTTGTGTATATATTGGCTATCAGCCATTTCATTAAATATAACAACATATTCTTTATACATGGTTGACATGCAAGATTGACTGCAATATTCTAGATAATTATTTTAAAAATGAATTATATATATATAGAGAGAGAGAGAGAGACAGGATCCTTTGACACCTCATCTGAGAGTTATTAGATCAAAAAAGATCAATGGTTGTGATTTGTAAGCATGTGACACCATTGATATTTTGTGATTTAATGGCTCTCAGATGAGGAGTCAAATTTCAAATTTGACACTGGTGTCAAAAGATCCTACCTCATATATATATATATATATATATATATGCAAATGTAGTTCTCCTTTCAATGGAGAAAAAAATTACGCAGCAATCGATTTTTACTATGTACCTTTGAAGGTACATAGTAAAAATATTAAAACTGCAAAAAATTTCTCTCCCCTCAAAAGTTGTTTGCTGAGGTGGAAAGAAAAAAAAATGACTTTTCATATTTTCACTACGTATCCTCGAGTATATACAGTGAAAATCGGTTCTTGTGAAAAATTTCTTCTCCATTTATATAATGGTATATTCTATCTTTGCACGTAAACCTAGCATACACATGATCTTTATGTGAAATGATGGCAAACACATAGAAAGGAAAAAAAAGAGTAAAATTTTGAAGATAACGGTCAGACATTAAAAAACAATAACCCAAAAATATTTAAAAGTAAGATCCAAGAACCCAATAAATAATAGTTTGCAAAATAAAGAAAGAGTACGAAGTTTACATTCTGAATTTGTCTGAATTGGGAGAATCTCGATTTTTCTACCTCAACCCATTGTTTCTTCTTAATTATGCAAATACTGTACCATATGGTCCTTGTATCTCTCTACCCGGAAGAATCAGCGGTTAAATTTTGGGGGAAATGTGTAGACACAAATTTAAGATATACAATGGCCAATCATGTTATCATATTAACAGAGAGATAGATTTGGATCCTCACGTTATCATGTTATTTTATCATAACTACTCATTTAAGAATCATACATTTTTTTCTCTCTTATGTTATCATCAACTTGTGATTGAGATCTACATCTTTATACCTTTATTTTTTTCAATATAACTCGTACCTCTTTATATCTATCTGTCTCTTTAAAACAACTAAGATTCTCTCCTTTAAAAGGATATACATTTTTTCTATAAATTTTATTGATGTTGATGAATATAGCTAATTCTTACGCTCTTGAATGCGGCCTTGGCTTGTGGGCACTTTTCACATTAAAAAAGTTGCTGACCCTGAAATTGTTGCCACCAATAATATAAGAAGTACCTTTTACATGCATCAAATCTTTTAACTTCTTCACCTACCCATTTATTAGTGTATTAAGGAGGTTCTTCGTAGAATTTCAATGTCTACACCTACTAATCCTTTTGCAGTTGAACTAGTCACCTCTAGGGGAAGCAAGTTGAGTTTTACTGCACCGCAATATGTTGATGTTTCTCACCAAAAATATCTACTTATTTAGATATTTTTGACGTGGGGACTCCATGAACCATACCAAAAATATCTTCGTACTATTACATCAATACAGAATTTGAACCGAAATTCAAATAATAATCATAGTGTTATGCAACAGAAAAGTGAAAGTTAGAATTTTTCTTTTTCTATAACCGTGAATTGGAAAGAGTAAGGACGAATAGGATACATCAATTTTCTTCTAGCCAGGGGAAGAACAAGTCAATCTGCACACTCAAGAAACTTGGTTTAATTCATTATCTTGAAGATATAACTTTCAATGATCATAGATATCTGTGCAAAGAACTACCATCCCGTAATGCAGATAACAAAGAAATAAGGTGGTCATCATTCGCATCATATTCCACCTGATTTTGATATTTGGACACAACATCATCTGGCAACACTTTGTTCCTGCAGAGTGGGCATGTAGCACAATATTGCTGCAACCACTTGTCCAAGCAATCCTTGTGAAATGTGTGTTTGCAATTCAAGTTTCTTACCTTCTCCCCTTCCTCGAATTCTGATAAGCACACCCTACATTCTATCTGCTCTGGCTTCAGTCTTCTGGTGTAGCAAATTGTGGGGTTCTTCTCTTCTATGAAATTGAGGTACTGGGTGGTGGTAATTGGATGTGTATCTGACTTTAGGTACCTAATGAAAAGGATAAGTTCTATTAGCATGTATGTGAATAGGACAATTGTCTTGGTGAAAAGCTGATCCAAGAGATCAGAGAGAGCCATTATGGCTTCTTGCTGCTATTGGATTCCTGAAAGCAAAATGGCTTTTTTTCTTTTCTTTATATATTGTAAAACAGTGAGTGTAGCCGGTTGGAGTATAATTATATCTTATAGATTCATATTAATTACGTCATATATCAACTACCCCTCTATTAACTTTTTTTAAAAAAAAAGTACCATAAGAAAGTGTGAATCGTATTATATGGTTGCAAGTACTTATATTGCTTTTTATGAAAAATTGATGAAACCTGGTCCCTTGTCTCAAGCAGGTGAAGTGGGACAACTGCTGGGGAATTATTATGAATTGTAGCAATTGTTGTTCCACTTTCAAAATAGAGTCAAACTAGTAGACCGTGAACGAAATGAAATGGAACACTCTTCCTTTTATTTCTCATGTTTATTCCTTTGTGTGTTACAGCAGGTATATATATATTCATGTTGGATATATTTTTTTATAAAAAAATATTTCTGTTTGTTGCAAGGTTTAAGAAACTATATTGGAAGAATAGTATTTTTCTGTATTTAAAAAATAAAGTATGAATTCTTTTGCGCAAAATTTTGACTAGTTGACATAAAGAATTACTTCAAAGTTTCATCTAACTCGTGCAATAGGCAAATGTTGTTTGCCAATAAGTACTAATGTAAACTTGGTATATCCAAATTAGGTGTACTATATTAATAAACTATTAATATATAATTAATTAAATAATTTATCTGTGATTATTATAATTAATAATGTGTTAATAATTTATGCAGGATTTTCCGCCTAAAATGAAGAAGATTCCACGAACACAAAAACGAAGAAAACTATAAATTCTAGTTTAAAATAATAAAAGATTTGTATTTTATCAGATAATGTCTCATATATGTAATTCGCATTAATTAAGAAATTTGGTGCGGGTATACGTAACGTTTTACTTGTCCTCATTAGTTGTTTGGAAATCGTCGTGGCTTTATTCATTCAGAGTTGTATTTTTAATCATACCCATACAAAGATCTCTTTATTAATTTTTTAACTCATGTGTTTACCAAAATAAAAACTAATTTTTTTTTTGACACAAATGTATATTCACATTGGAACTCGAAATCATTAATTAAAATGAAATAATACATACTAATTTAATTTATCATCCACATGCATAATCGTCATTCAGAGTTGTATTTTATCCGCAAAATAAGCTTCAATGCAAGATTTGAATTTCGCACTCATTAAAGGGGTTGGGTACCGTCAAAACCCGCCATCTAAAAGAGTCAAATTATATAAAACTAAAAGCTGATAATGGACCAGTCCCATCTGGTTTTGGGGTGGCTTCCTTAAAATGCAAATTATTAAAGGCATTGAGGTTTGGGAATTGGGACCACTTTTTTTTTTTTTAAGTAAGAATTGGGACCACTTTTTATTTAAATTAAAGAGGGGGGATATTTTGACTACCAAAAATGTCCACTACCACCTTACTACCTATCAAATCACCATTAGATCAAAGAGAGAGAATGTTAAAAAGTTTTTTAAGAGAGAAAAAATATTAATCCAACGGTGATTAGATAGGTAGTAAGGTGGTAGTGGAAATTTTTGGTAGTCAAAATATCCTCCTCTAAATTAAAACCTTAAAAAATGATTTGTGCAGCAAGACTTCATTCAGCAGTTTAATTATGCACGAAAAAAAAATATAAACTTAACTTCGTTACGTAGAAATGTTATATTTAAAACATATTTTCATTTACAATTTTTTATAATTATATCGTTAATTTTTTTTAATTAACGGTTATCATTTATTATAAATTAATAAATTAATAATTAATTAATGAATTTAATTTGCACAAATAATAATCGTTGATTGAAAAAAAATTAAGATATGATTGTAAGAGGCTATAAACGAAATTAGGTTATAAATATAACATTCATCATCTTTCTATGTTATATCTTAAAATGGTTATTTTAATTACCTGTATAATTTATCAATAACGTTTAAATATTTTTTTTACTTCTTAAACTAGACAAATGAGGGAAACAGTACTTACAGAAAAAGGGTGAATTATTTTTTTAAAAAAATAACAAGCTATCACAATTTCGTGAACTTAGAAAATAATATTAAAATTTATGTTGATTGATTTTTATTTGAGAAAAATGATTTTAAAAAACGAAGGACATAGTTGGAGATGAGAAAAAACTTGGATCAGTAAGTTATGGTAACTCAACTAACTTATAAAGTAATTTATTTGAAAGAGGTGACCAAATTATAAAGAAAAAAAATTCTTTAAACAGGAAAATTATTATAATTCAGCTGACCTAAATTTTATTATTTAGTTGTTTTTTATTTAAGAATAATGTTTTTTATCTCGAAAAGTTGGGTCTCGTTAATTTTAGTGCAAAAATTGGTTCTCGGCTCGCCCTCACATCCAACAGTGAGGTTATTGGCAAAAATGATTTTAGCTTTTTCTCATCAATGCGACAGTGAGGTTAATGTTTATTAGAATGATAGTAAAAAAAATGGATAGAAAAAATATCCTACCTTTTAAAAAATATTTCTTACCTATATATATTATCCCTTAATTTATTAAAGTGATATTTTGCATTGTATTTATAAACTGTTATTCGGCCAAAATATAAAATCAGTGCTCATTATTCATTCTTTTCTCTCATCGGACCACTTAAGGGAACTCCGAAATTTGGTTCATAGGACCAATGTTAATAAAATTGGACCGACCTGGTCAAGTCGATCTGAGAACCGGTAACTTGATCATATAACTGGTCTGGTTGAAGCAACGGACCGACTATGCATCAAAATCGTTGTGATCCGATAAGATCCGATCGATTTTCATGAGCACCGGTGACCCGATCCGGTCCCAAAAAAAAAATTCCAAATTTTTTTTTCAAAAAAAATTATAATGGACATATTTGAATTATTTTTTCTTATTGACTTACATAAGTTATGTACTTACAACACTAATATTATCTCAATTATGTACTATGCAGAAAATTTTGATTTGATTTATAGTTAAAGATGTCATTTACTGAACCTAAAGTCACATATTACGAGCATTATATTTTTGTTTGATCCTTTATTGGATAATAATATGTGATTTATTATTTTTTATATTAAAATATTTAAAAATTATCATTTTTTTAGATATTTGAGTATGTTTATAATTTTTTAATTAAATTATAGAATTGCATATAATTATCGGGTCATGCGAATAAATCAGCGACCCACTAATTGAACCAGTGATCCGCTGACCCAATACTTTAATCGAATCAATGACCGAGCCAATTTTAATAAAATTGCATATCACTCTCTCAAAAAGCACTTCCATAATCTATAACAATATACTTCACCCTGCATAAAATACATACCTAAGTTCATAACACTAACCGTTCAATTAATATTTTAATTTTTAATGTATACATTATAAATGTATAAATATTTTTTCAAAATATATTTAACTTATTCTTTGTAAAATTTTATTTATTCTATAATTTATCATTAATAGGGTTTATATTAAAAAAATAATAACAAATATAGGTTTATGAAGTATCTATAATTTTTTTATTTGTGCAAGTAGCACGGCTGTAAAAAATAAAAAAATAAAAAAAATCTGGGACAATGACATATTGTCACTTTTTAGACAAAAATTTATCGAAATTTTTTTATTTGTGCAAATAGCACGGCTGTAAAAAATAAAAAAATAATAAAAATCTAGGACAATGACATATTGTCACTTTTTAGATAAAAATTTATCGAATTTTTTTTTTGCCAAAATGTCACGTCACAATCTCGCTGATCTGACAAGCGAGAATGAACTGGACACGTGGCAACGTCTGAATGGTCAATCATTCTAGCTGAGCAGCCCAGCGAGAATGACACAATGTTGACACATGGCAAAAGTACATGCATCCTGTACTTTTGCCGAGAATGTCTGTATTTTTGCCACATGTCAGCATTATGTCATTTTCACTGTACTGCTCAGCTAGAATGGTTGACCATTCAAATACTGTCACGAGTTCAGTTCATTTTCGCTTGTCAGATCAACAAAATTATAACGTGGTATTTGGACAAAAAAAATTTCCTCATTTAACAATTCGGTAAATTTTTATTAAAGGGGTGTTAGTTGGTCAATGTTCCCAAAATTCTCATATATCAGAATTCACAACAAAAGGAAAGAAGAAAGGAGGGAAGGAGAACTGCAACATCATTATCCTGACACCAATTATCAAACAGAAAATGTAGCCTCTCTTAACTAAATTTTACGACCACTTCATTGTCCGCAGTCAAGTTTGGGTCTTTCAACATATTTATGCCCACATGGACACATTCCAAAAATACGGTCAATAAATGCTTAATCACATCCAAATTCCAATGCAGCCAGCCTAGCGTATAGCTACTAGCTAAGGCGGTTAGGGTTTAAGGTTGCAACTTGCGAAAAAATATTTGGTGTTATAATTGTATTAAGGATTCAGTATATTTTATTAATGAAAATATTATATATTAGTCAAAATTTTATTTTTTTTGTCAAACTTTCTCTCTTTCATTTGACATGTAATGCTTCTTATAATGAGATACACTAAATCTAAATGCAACAGATGAACTTAAGATTTATTCGCAACTTGCAAGTGTATGAAAAAGGATAAATTGGGTGGGAGTGAAAATGGACTTTTTTATATGACAAATGCATTTTTTTAAATATTCTACTGGCTCAATTTTTTGATAAAACCTATTATTAGACAAATACAAAAAGACGTGCATTAGGTGTCCATGTCTAATTGTCTATAGTCATGCATAAGGCAGGTGTGCATATGATGTCTGTGTCGCGGGAAATACGTACTTGGTACTGACATGATTAGACGAGCATACACAAACTTTACATATTCAGATTATTTAAAACACGCATATGATGATGACGTGACTAAACACGTAGTCATAGATTACGCGTCTTGCCGCATTACTATAGTAATACATTTGATTACAAAACTAAACCGGTGGAAATGCTTTATAAAATCCATTAGTACGGTCAAAAGGCCGTGAAAATGGTTAAATGGGTGGACGATTTCGTTTGTGCCTAAAGTGATTAATTTAAGGATTAGGTCCAACTGTATATTATAGAGTTGGGCCACTTTATTTTACAAAAAAATAATTTGTAAATGTTTTTTAAGGGATTCGTTTTTTTACAATTGCAGGAAGCAAAACATACCTCCCACTAAACCTTAGTTATTCGTGCCATAGGTTTTTTTATTTTTTATTTTTTTTACTTAACAGATCCAACGTGTTTTTTTTTTGTTTTTATACATAAGGTAAAGAATCTGTAGCAACATGAGATGATTTTTTAATTCTTCATATTGTATTTTTTTCAAAAATTTAACTTTTTAAAAATATTTACCTTCCTTTTTGTTACATTTTTTTTTAATTTAGTCAATCAAAAGTAATTTATTGTTGCCAGAAATTGAGAACTAAAAAACAATGTAGTTTGTACCATAAAAAAAAAAAACAATGCAGTAGTTGTTGGCGTTGCAAAGGGTGTAGCTCTAAGAAGGAGCGGTGCTAGGAGAAAAAGATGTTAATTTTATAATTAGTTGAGTGCAAGTGTGTAGGGTTAGATTTGTGTAAAAAATATATATAGATTATTATCCATTAAACCTCAATTAGCAAAGGTAAAAGTGACTTGTACATAATCTTTCTTTATATATTTACAAAGTGACTGTTTTCGAAATTCGAAACCTCAACCTTTCATTTAAAAAAAACAACAACTTCACCGCTACTTAAAACTTGCTCTCTTCTATTGTTAAATTTGTGTATTATTAGTTTCAAAAAAATAAAATAAAATTGTGTATTATCAAAAAGTAGAAAGAACCCAAGGTTGTTTATTTCTCTGTCACGAGTCATGACTGACGAAACGGGGATGTATGAGATGGGAAGCATTCTCAAATAACATGTTTGTATATGGAGAAATGTTTAGTTTACAGTTGATATAATTTGCTTTAATTAAATTAATAAAAAAATTTATGCATAATCATTCTTTATTTAATAAATAAAATTCATATAAACCTAGGTGATAAACAGTTAATTTAAATTTAAAATATCAAATATAATAATTTTGTTTATGCAAAACTTTATCAAATCCGGTACAAGTACAATCCAACCCGTTTTCATATGCTCCATTTGAATCCGATTTATCTCGTAACCTGATCCTACCAGTGAGCACCCGATCACCAATTAGTTTACAGGTTTTCTTCTTGTCATTAATATTCGAAATGAATTATTAAATATTTATTAGTTATTACGATTAATAATTAATAAACATACAATTGCGGCTTGGAGCCAGCCACCATTAATAAACAGTCCTCAAGTGCTACACTGTGCTTATAGGTTGGAACCGTACGCATGTCACCAAAGAAATTAACAAACTTCTTCAAGTAATCATGTAAAACAGCACACATATATCAAAGAATGGAAAGAGATTGGTGCATTAAAGCCCAAAAGGAATCAACCACTATTCAGAGTGGCCAAAATGGATCCAGAAAGCAGTCCAGTAGTCTATAGCCTTCTCCATCATGGAATATGAGTCGGTGGTCAGCTAAATGACGTGTTGCATTATGGTTCAGCATTTCATCTTCTAGGGCATCAACTATATATTCAAATTAACAGAATACCTTTCAAGGTCTTTGCTTAATAGGACTAGAGCCTTCTTTCAAGGGGATTTTGCGATCAAACCCGGGTCTATAGAGAGGACAATGACACAGAGTCAGAAAATTTTGAAAATTTTGTGAAGGGAGCAAAATTACAAATATAATATTCCTTGTAAGTTATAATTTTCTATATAATCAGAAGAACGGGAATCATGGTCACAATTAAAGACTTTTGTATGAAGTTGAAGGAAAGCGATCATTATCTATATAACAAAAAAAAACGCATAAATGACAACTCAGAATTAAAGCAATATATAAACTTGAAGGGGGACAACAGCCCTCCCAAGCCCCACCACTAAGGGAGGTCCAGCCTAAGGTTCTATACTCCGGGGGGACATAAAACTGAGAAACTTGTTGCACTAATACAAGCACAACTTAAAACACAAATCTAATACTCGGGGAACGTAAATGTTACTCTCTGGCTAAGTTTCCTTCGTGTAAGCAGGAGGGGTTATAACAATTACGTCAAAGACTGACCAATTGTTGGTTTCCTGATCCGTCTTTGTCCAGATGAATATGATTGAAGAATTATTTGATTAGCCAATTATATACAAGTATATTACCATAAAAAAATTTCTGTCAAAATCTTTCTATCTCCGATGAAATCAATACCTTGCTCATGGAAATTCACTGCATATTAGACTCGAACGAATTTGTTTAAAGCGTTTGGAATCTTACGCTGATCTACTTTCCTTTCACATCCCAGGAGCACGGAGCCAGTCTGTAATCTTGCTTCAACGTATTCACCAGCTCAATCCCAGCCAGCATACCATTCGCATTAAAATAAAATTCCAAATCTCCAGATCTTGCTTGTTTCAAACAGGTCATGTTCATTACGGTCTAACTACTGCAGGTCTCATATAGAATGCTGATGATTACCAAAGTACACCATCCCTGGTGGTTGAAGTGGTCTGAAACTGGGAGGTGCTGGGGCTTGCTGTGTCATGTTTATTGGTAGATGCTGAGTTATAGGTGCTGGCTGCTGCTGAGTTATTTGCAGTGTCTGATGTGTCAGTGGTACCATTGGGCCCGCCATATGGGGTGGGGGCGGTCCTGGTGGTAATTGTGGGATGCTACCATAACCATATGGAGAGACGACCCCTCCTGTTGACTGTAAATATTGCTGGGAGGATGAATTACAAAGCATGTGATATTGACCTTGTGATGCAGCGGCTGGATTCTGCATGATGGGTTGGGGTATCAAAACAGAAGGATATGAATGATTTGGAGTAGAAATCAACTGTTGTGTGGAGATAAAAGCATTTGGATCTGACATGGGCATTGACTTCTCGGGTTTTGACATGGACTCAGAATTTAGACCAGCATTTTTTGCCTCTTCTGCTGCAAATGTAGAGAGAACAGAAGCCATGATTAATTGAGACGACGATGAAGCTGCTAGCTTATCTGCAACCTCAGCTGCAATTGCTGCAGCTGACTTCTTTGTTGCAGCTTCTGAATTTGTATTTGCATCAGCAACTGAAGTTGTTGCAGTTGATGCTTTATGTGAAAAATCTTCATTATCAAGTCTCTTCCGCATGTAGCAAGCCTCTTCTACTTGTGCTTGTGCTACCTACATACCATTAATGAGATATATCAGCATAAAGTTCAAACTTGTTAGCATCAATAGAAGCAAAAACATCTCCAAGTTCCAGAATGAAAGCTTACTCAACAATGTAAGAATGACATCCAATGCCTAACAGGAACTTAGTTACTTTATATTTGTTAATGATGCTTTTACTGAGTAATTTTCAACTGAAACTAACTTTTTTCTCTTTCTAAAGTGAGTTTATTGCACTGAATGCCCTTGAGGTTTACGAAAAATTATACACAGTTTCAGAAATTACACCGAATTCCTCTATCCCCTTCTCCAGTTTAAATTTGTTCCACACACATTCTCCCTCAAAAATCAACTGAGGAAGGGTATGAAACCTCAATTAAAAAGGAATGTAATTACAACGAAGACACGCTCCTATCAGTTACTACAGATTGCAAGAGACACTAAATGGCTAACATAGCCTTGAAACAATAAGAAAGAAACACCCAGGGGACTCCAACAGTACCCCTTCACCCCACAATTCCCCACTTAAGTTCATAAACATCCTCCCCTCAATTTCCCCTTAACCCGCTTATAATCATTTCCTCATGTCCCCCCACTCTCTCTCCTGTAACTAACTTCCCTTCCCACAAAACTGTTATGGCCTCTGCGCAACTGATTCTCCTCCACTTGGACCTGCCTTGGGCTGTAGACAAATCCTCCTTTGTTGGGTGTGCTTCTTGGCTTGCTGCCTCTGGCCCCCCTTGTTCAGGCCCATTTAGTCTAACTCCATCCTGTTCTGGCCCACTTTGTCCAATCCCACGTTTCACTTTCTTTCTGCTGTACACCTTCTTTAGCACCTCACCAGAAGGCCTTTGAATAATAATATTTTTCTAAGAGGCAGGTGTTTTTGTGTGTTACGTAAGCTTCAAGGAAGGTACTTATTCTATTAAATGTTTTACAACTACCAACACTATTCATGAGCACTTTATTGACTTCATAATAATTGTCCAATTGCATCTTACAGATATATGTAAAAGAGACACATAAGATAAGAAATAAAACGATGAGAAACCTTGATACACGATAAATAGTTATCACATTACATCTGATAACAAATTATTCAATAGGATAGTCAGCTGAGGAAAAGATTCATGATAGTACAAACCTGAATCTGAGTACGAACATTCTCCAGTTCAGATTCCTGTACAAATACCCACCAAGAATAGCAAGATGGCATCAGGAACTCAAAATATCAATCAGAAAGCTAATAACTGCAGAATTCAAATACACAATCTTAACAAGCACATGAACACGATAACTTGCCTGCTCATGCAAAGCTTCTTTTAACCGAGATACTAGTGCTGCTCTACTTGCTTCAACTAATTTAAGATTTTCAACGCATTGTTTCAAAAGATTTTCTTCCTCCGTGAGTTCATTAGCCAAAGTTTTTCGCTTAGGGTCCTTTGCTGAAAAAGAAAGCAATATTAGAATCCTAGCTTCCGAAACTCAAGTGTTAATTTTGTTGTGTTGATACCTTACCAGTGGTGCATGCAATATCAACAGCTTTTTCCAACTTCCTCACACGATGAACAGAAGACTTGCATTTACTCATCTCTGCATCTTCATTGGAATGTTCATTAAGCACCATATGAAAGGCTGAGACTATTTTTTCTACTGTACCACCAATGGACAATTTCTGGATTCCATTAAATTTCACGACAATGAGTTATGCAACAAGAATCGCAGACTAGTTTGAAGGATGTAATAATCTAAAAGCATAAATATTTGAGTATAAAATTGGGGAAGGGGTAGCCACAAGGCCCTAGTCTCACCGTTTTAATGGAGCGAGAATCCTTTTTCAGAATTCTTACAGAACGAGATCGCTTTCTGCTGAATTCTAATGGTGGAGGTGCTTCTTCTCCAAGTATTACATCTTTAAGGTTCTGTGCCCGAGATCCAAACACTCTCCTTTGCTCCCATATATCAACCTAAAGTTAGGTAAACATCAAGTTAAATAGATCAAACTGCCTACAGTAAAATCAATATCACGGTACACACTTCAAACCTGGAAATGGGGCTTACCAGTCTAGATACCACACGCTTTCCTTGATCATCACCTTTATCAAGAACATCCTTAAGTGCAGTGGGAAGAACCTTCCAAAACTCAGTCACAAATTCATTTCCTTTACGTTTACTGTTCTGCAGGATGTCATTTGCAAGATATAGAAGGGGGACTCGCTGAACCATCTCTGAATTGTGAAATTGTTTATTCCATGTTCCAACAACCAGTTCTGCTTTGCTCCGGTGAAATATACACCAATGTGATAAAGCTATACAAAATGTTAAGATAACAAACTACATGGCATCAACAACCAATACGCAAATTTCATAAAATCAACTTATTAATATGCAGTAACATTGAACTGCTTTTAAGACAAAAACAAAATCCATGTAGAAATACTTAGTCAAAAACTCATACTCCACCAAGACGTTAACCCCAAGAACTTACATGTTAATCTTAAAACTGGAAAAGTGTGACAACAAAATCTTGATGCTTCAAATATCTGACTTACTTAAACTATTAATTTGTTATTGCAATACAAAAGTAAGTTCTCCAACAGCTAGGGATGCCACTCATTTGACAAACCCTTTTCAAGTTGACCTTATTCTGATCAACAGTGGGTGTCACTGTAGATCCTAAAAAATAAAGAGAGAAAAGGGGGGGAAGGGAGGAAAATGCATAGCAAATACATGCAAGAAGACAATGGATGCCATCAAAAAGTTTGAGATCTAATTGTTTGTTGGTCCAAAATTAGGGTGGACTTACTTGAACTTCACAAAGCTGAAGCATCATTATATGCTTAGTTAATATACACAAAAGATGCAACCATGCATGATTAGACTCATTGCATAATATGCAAATTGATGTGGACATAAACTTATTTTAACTCCTTTGCATATGGATCACATGAAACACTGAAACAAACCTGGATTTTAAATAACACTGCATAACTTTCTGCCATGACTCAAAGATAGGATATCCCATTACATTCCATTCTAGTACCATAATGACTTCGCAAATAAGAGAGATTCCTTGGTAAAGTTACTTTAAGAGTCTCAAGTCATTCAAACACGAAAAGGATAAATAATATATTAATCTTGGGCAAGAATACATGTTTATTTCATTGAATAATTAGCTAATCCTGCAATCACGAGCTGCAGTTCAATAGTTCTTCCCAATTAAGAAATCAAAGACAAACTGAATGTATTCTGCACTGCCAGTTGCCAACCTAACTAAACATTTTCAGTATAGACAGTATTCTAGTTTCAATTAATTACAAGTTACCAAATATATAGAAACACTTCCCAATCCCCAAAATAAAAATCCCAATTTGGTTAAGCAATGAAGAGAATTAAAAAGGAACATTCATATAGTAAAAACATCTAATCAAGTAAAATTTATTATTTTTCCAAAAAAGGATACTTTCAATGCATTGCTGGGTGCTGTTAAGCTTGGACAGCTTGTCCGCGAGTATCTGCTCGCTGAAAACGCTATTCATAGCCACCTACCAACCAACCTGCACGAGAAATTATATGAGCGAAACCCTAGCATCCTATACAACCAATTCATCGAAAAGAAATGTGAGAATTTCTAAACTTTGGGAAACTAAAACCCTAGAATATAATGAAAACATAAACGCAGCATGAGAGAAACCGAAGCGGGAAAGAAAACAGATTCAAATCAAGTTGAAAGAGGGAAAAAAATAGATTTAATCGAAAAATTAAGCAAATGAAGAGAATGGAAGAGAGGGAATTGAGCAGCTGAGATACCACGTGCAAGAATGCCGAGGAATCGGAACGGAACGGAACCGATTGAAACGACCGCGTTTTGGGGAAATCGGAGAAAGTGATGAGAGTTAGAGAAGAAGGAGAGAGAGAGAGAGAGAGAGAGAGAGCGAGCAAGCTAAAAGTTTACGTTTGCGGAGTTTCGTTTGTCCATTTGGCGCAAACTCTGCGAGTTTGTCTAAACGGCGCACGATAATACGCTGGTTTCTACTTTCTAGTACCCACTCATGCTGGAAAATAATAAAAATATAAAAAATAAAAATCGTCTGTTGTAGTATTTTCTAGTTTCTGTTTTTTACTCTCGTCCTTTCATTTTAAATAAAAGGTACGAAAATTATGATCATACAATTAATAATAACAGAGAGAAAGAGAAAAAATATTGAAATAAATAGTTATATGAAAAAATATTTTTCCATTCAAATGACATAACTTATGTCATTTTACTCTCACAATGAGGTGGAATCTACACGTTTATATTTTTTTGTCAACTCTCTCTCTCTTCCTTTATCTATTTCTTTCTCTCACTTAAAATGACACAACTTTACATCCTTTAAAATGATACACACTTTTCCCATAGTTATAATATTATAACTGTTGATTTATTTTTGGATGATTGTGATTTTCTCACATAATTTTTGTCATATTTTATTTATTGTGTGATATATGAGATAGAGACTCAATCCAATAACGGCCCACGAGGCTCAAAACCCACCAAAAACTTGACCAATAAGGCAATCCATCCCGCGTACAAAGTATGCGAATCTGTTCTGCTTGGTTGATAATCCAAAATGACTTAACATGAAAGAAAATATTACTGTCGAGATCAATTGCTCAGACAACTTGGGCATCACCTGAAACCAATGAATGAATGGCAGCACCAATTTGCCACCACATCTACTTAAGCTAGCCCGATCTTAGACTTATCAACTAAGGAATAGCTTGTGAAAGATCATTCATTTCCCCCAATGAGAATGAACACCGTCAAATGAAAGATAGTATGAAACGAGACACTCTACACTATAAATACAGAGATATTAAACCCATGTATGATATCTTTCTTGGTATTGCACATCAATTTCCTTCCCTTTCATATTTCCTTGCATTTGCAAGTACTTTCGATCTAAACAAATTAATAAATTTTGTTAATGTATAAAAATGTGATTCAATTATGTAGAGTAATCAGGTATATATTAACCAATTATATTATCTCTTTCTGTTTTCTTTTTCTTTTTTTTTAATCAACATTTATGGATATCAATCAATGGTATATTTTACGGCAAGTTAGAATCTTCACTTTCCATTACTTCATTCATCATCGGATTACTTATTCGACCAAAAAAAAAAATCATATGTTTCCCCCCACCCGCAATGACTTCATTTTTCTTGTCCCCTGGAATTTTGTTGCATTAGTAAAAATATGTTAACACTCGAACCGAAATATATGTCTGTCAACACCCAGATTTTTCGTAACCTTCGAGTAATTAAATAGCATCAGATCAAATTCCACAACTTCATTAGGACATGCAGAGCTTGAACGATAGATAAAAAGGAAAATTAGCCAAAAATTTGCTGTTGCCAGAAAATATTAAAAAAAAAAACAATCACACTACGAATATAAAGATGTTTGGGTCATGTTAGGCTTCAACTAGTTCAAACAGAGGGAAAAATCTATCCAATTAAGTAGCTCTTAGTTTGGAGAAAAGTTCTGGTGGACCACCAAAATTCAATGATCCCCCTTTGTATTTCCACAAAAAAAATCCACGTTACTACTTTCTTTCATTTTATATTTCCATCTATGTCCCACAAAATACAAAAGGGACCACTGAATTTTGGGGGTCCTGGTCCACCAAAAAAAATTTCCTTAGTTTGTGCCGTTCTAAGTTCTAACACTAGACAATACAGGTCTCAACCCATGTAACAATATCAAGGACCAGAAACTAGCAACTGGCAACAACAATTTCTTCCCAAGGTCAACACCAACGCACCTACCAAGATGCATTTACAAAACACTTCTTAACTAGTCAAATCACCAATAATAAGAAAATCAACAAAAGCTGCCAGGGAAGAATCCTTAAACTAATTGCCTACTGCTTAATGCTTCTGCCCTGTGCTGCAAGTTTTGCTGCAACTTGCTCTTCAGATAAAGGTAAATAGTAGACTCTAGGAGTTGCTCTGGTTTTACGAAAGAGATCATCGAGTGTGACAATAGGTTGGTCAAATTTCTCAGGAAGGGGTGGTGGGGGTGGAAGCCGTTCTCTTGCTGCTGGCAGGGGCTTTGACAACGGTGGTGGAGGAGGGAGTGTAGCTGGAATTAGAGGCTGCTCCCTGTGCTGAATGGGAGAAGGCTTTGGTTGTGAGTTTAAGGCTTTGATTGCAGGCGGTACTGTTGAATCGCTACTGACAGGGGCAACCTGAGTAGGAGGAGCTTCTAGCTTCATTTTCACTTCTTGAGGATCAACATAATCAGCAACTAAAAGGCGTCCACCATTTGGAGGCCATTGCAGATTATACACAGCATTTCGTGTCTCAATAGCTTCTTCTACGGATGTGTACTGTATCACATCATCAGAAGATTACTTAGGAAGTATATATCATGAATGCAGTAACATCACGGGATAACCTCACACTAGCAAAAAGACAGAAATATAAGAATTAAGTCTTACAGTGATATAGCAATGGGTCTTTATTTGGTCCATCCAGAAACTGATGACATTCCCAGTTTTACCAAGAAGTTTTTGCACTGATTTTAGGGTAAAAGGACGGAGGAATTGATCAATCCTGAGGGAATTAGTTGGGGCCCTTTGTGATGGAGGAACTACCAAAGATTAAAAGCAACACTATTAGACTTAAAGGAAGAGAAGCAGAGGACCCAACAGATGCTGGTAAGACAACAAAGAAAAATCCAAAACATAAGGACACCATAAAACATAAAGACTAATTACTATATAAATGTTTACAAGTATGGAAAATCAACTAATAAGTGATTATTTATGTTTCAAATAAAAAAATTCAGGAAATGCATTTTTTTTAAGTGTATATTGGATGAGCCCAAAATGTGCTTTGAGAAGTGTCCCCAATTAAATTTTGAGTATCAGAAATTGATTCTTTTTTTTTCCTTTTTTCTTATTTAGGGCTACAAGACAGGAATTCAAATTTGATATCTATTAATCCAACTCCAAAAATAAGAGCATCATCTCTTCTCACACCCCAACCAGAATAAATGTCGACTCACCAATTCGTTCTTTGGGTGCATCATTAATTGTTGAGGAATCAAACCTAGAGAAGTTGCGCTTCGAAGCCATTGGCTCATCCTTTGGTGCAGTAACAGGTTTGAGAGTAGGACTTTGTGAATCTGAACCTTTAACTGTTTCAGAGTTCCACCTTCTTTGCCGTTTTGCAGGCTCATTGTTCCCAACTGATGCTTGATCTGTGACACAATTTTTCAAATAATTCAGGGGGAATAAAAAAAATACATAAATAAACTTGTTTAGCGATAAGAACTGATAATAGAATTCAAAAAAATAATACATACTAGTATCTGAAAATATAAATGATATCATCAATATTATTGTCATTATGAAATGTTGCAGGTAACTAGATATGCAGGAAGCTTGTTCAAAAATCTAAAAGTTAAATTATACCCAAATATCCTGTTTATGTAGCACATCAAAGTTCAGAAGGTTCAATCAACTACAAGTATATGATCAAGCAGTGATTGCTATTTGTCTGAAAACCATATCATACAGTAATAGCCCATAATGCCATAGAAAGGGTAGTCCCCCATCTGGTCTTTTGTCACTTTCCCTAAAAGCCAATGATTTTATGTGTTACTATAAATAAAAAAGAGAACATTTTCATTACAAAGGCACACCATTTACAGCCAGTCTTACTTTTAAAGAAACTTGCATTTTAAATTATTTTTTTTATCTCACAGTTTAAAGCCACTTTACATTTTCTTAATATTTATTTTAATTTATACAGGGTATCAAAGGTTCTTATACACACAAATTCCAAATGATTAATAGAACTGAACATACTATGTGTAGAGTCTATGGATCAATCTCCAGTCACCCCATGAAACCAAACTCCCACTATAAGTGATATTACAATTCGACATGATTAGAAATGGAGAAGGTATATCCAGAACAGACAAAGATGTACTACAAAGTAAAGACCATAATTAAAAATGCAGAGTGGATAATGAGATCGAGAATAAAAGACAAAAAATATAAAGCTTACCATGAAATTTTCGTTTCTCAACAAGGGAAACAGGAGGAATATCATTATCATGGCGGATACCAACTTTCTCCAAAGATAGACCATCTCCAACAACTACAGTACTACCTTCCTCCTTCACAATAGGCACTTCAACACTCTCCCCCTTGTCTCTAATTTCATCAACATTAGACTTAAAATCAAATTGCTTGCTTTCCAGCAAATCCTCTTCCATGGAATCATCACAAGAACTTCTATCCAAGTTTAACTTTTCTGGATACCCAACATCCTCACCACTATTGATCTTGTTCAAGTCTGGACTTTTATTACTGCTATTTTGCTCAACAGATTCCTTTTTCTCACGTAGCTCTTCAACATCCATTGAATGTGATTCATCATAAACAGGTATATCATTTCTGGATAATGGTTCTTGCACCATCTCTGGCCTAAAAATATCTTGTTCTAATTTGACATTATCAGCAATTATAGTATCCCTTAGTTCATTCTTATTATTAATTGACACAGAATTACAAGAAATAGAATCAGATTTTACTTGAGACCCTAAACTAGGGTTGACCTCAGATACCTGATTTTCATAAAGAGAAGAGTCGGGCATGATGAGATCCTCGCATGGGGGCTTTAGGTCGCACTCCAGCGGGGGCTTTGAGTCCTTGTTATCAAGCCATGCTTTTGATTCCACATTCTCCTGCTTGGCTGCTGAATCACCATAATTGTTCTGTGGTTCTGCACTATAAGAATCCTGAACGCTGACTACTGCGTCTGTCAAGACACTCTCAGTGACTGTTACAGTGGTCTCTATTGTAGAAGCATGAACAATTAGGTCCTCTCCCACATTTGCAGCTGGAAAGTCCATATGTTCCACTTCTTGATCCGCAGCTGGCACATTACTATTAATGTCAACTGGGGTGGTAACACCATACAGCTTGTCACTCTTTTCCCTGTCATTATCCACAACCTCTGGAATCTTTTCTGCATTTTCAGTTTCAATGGGTTCAACTATACCAGTATTACCCTTTTCAGATGTTTCAACTGTTTCAGCAGTTTCGCTTACAATTACTTCGGCAACTACAGTCTCCATATGTGAATTGTTTAACCCAGCTACATCACCATTGAAAGCATTAGCCTCGTCCTTCTCAGAAGACTCAGCAGCCTCCATTTCAATGCGAAGAGCTTCATCCAAACGCCTGATCAAATCATCCTTCAAACCCTTGGTAGTTAGTTTCCTTCGCTTTAGCTCATCTTTCAGAGCTGTAACCTTCCACTGATCAATGGGTCGATCATGAAGAATTGGATATCTTGATGACATAATATCCAAATCAACTCAGCTTCCCTAACCTGGAGTCAGTAATCAAATTAAACGCACATTCAACATCAGTGACAGTGAGACAACCAAAGCAATAATCAGAAGGACATATAACCAACTATGGGAAGCAGACAAAGACACATATAAGAACAAACCAAGGACAGGGTTCTTGAAGAACTCAAGCAAAATAGGGAAAGACAGTTATCATCCAGTACATTTAAAAAAAGAAAAGTACATTTCTTTCATTCTTTGTTTACGGTTTGATTCGAAAATAATAATAATAATAATAACATCTGTCCTTCTGCAGCACTTCTGCTAAGAAAAAGTGAAGCTTGGTAAGGATTAAATAAAATTTCCCGAATATTATAAACGAAAATTACCAAAAGGGCATCTTCATTCAGGAGAATCAATGTAAAAAAAAAAGGTTAGAGAAATATAATCCTGAGAGATATAATAACAAAAACAGAAAAAGGCACAATCAAATCAGCAATATTAAAACTGACCCGACCAACTTGCATTCACCTAAAAATTAAGCAGTCTAATACAACCTAAAATCCGCCCAATGACACTCACAGTAGATATTCAAACGGAAATATCAAGAAACCCAATGCACCCAAAAATGAAACGTTAAAATTGAACATGTACACATGCATTGTATAAGAAAAATAATTATAAAGAATATATTCATCGCCGAATAGAAAATGAGATAGCAAGATCCAGAGTGGGTGGTAGTATTACTCACAATAACAAATGATCGTTTCTGGGACAAAAAAGGGGGTGAGGCTTTGCTTAATGGGAAATGTGAAACCCTAATTTGAGAAGAGAAAATGGAGCAGCATTAGAGAAGAAGAAACGTTCACAAGAAACCCACATATGGAGAGAGAGACTCGCCCAAACCAAAAGAATGCTTATGCACTCTCTCTCTCTCTCTCTCTCTCTCTCTCTCTATTTTTCTCTACACTCCGCCCTAACTCCTTTCTTTCCTGAAAAGCAGCGAAAACTCTAAACAAAACAAACAATACGAAACACCCAAACCGAACAAAATACTGACATACACAAAATCAAATCCAATGTTAACAAATGTTTTATCCAAAAGAAGGAGAAAACGATTAAAAAAAAAAAAAAAGGTTGAGATTTTTTGTTATGCTATTCTTCTTCTCTTCTAAGGCTTTTCATTTTGTGTTCTTTGTCACATTTTGTGCACTTCTTGTTCCGGCTATGTGGTTTATCGTGAGATGAAAGATAGAAAGAGAGAGAGAGAAATGTTAAAAATTCTCCATCTGCATTACCGAAAATAACCTAAATGACACGTGGCTGAAAGATGATCGGGAATTAACGTGTCAACGTCTGGGCTCCTATTCTCTTAATGGGCCTCCTCTAAGTAATGGCCCAATATGGAAACCAAGAAACCCAATCCAAAGGCCCAGTTACTACTGGGATCGACCAGCCTTTATGTTTCCTTCCAAATTTACGTGAGAAGCAAAATCAAATTATTCATCATTAACACTCTATTTCCCTTGCATGCTGTTACTGTTACCAGTCAACAAAAAATAATAGTGTTTGTATGTACACATTTTATTCTCGCAAGCTTTTCATAGACTCTTGTTCTGTAAGTTATTAAATAAAGATTTAGATGAGTTCTTTTGGAATATGGGATTGGGAAAGGCTTGTGATTGTGAAGACAAAATATATGCAACTATCGTTTAGGTTCATTCATAATTGTTCTCATCCTTTGCTTGTTGTTACCTTTCTATGCTTTCTTTTAGAACCAAAGTGTGAGTGATTCATTGTTTTTATTTTTAGTGTTCCTTTTTTCTGCATTGATAAGTTATCTATGTTGAGTCCAAAACGACATCGTTTTAAGGTAGAAATCAAAGTATTTTTATAATTATAATTTATTTCAAGGTTATAATAATCTTTTTTATTATGCTTTTTTAATATTTCAACTCAAAACGACGTCGTTTTGAGAATGAATATAGATAATTTATTTACAATTCACTGTAGAAATATTAAAGCCTTAATTTTTAAATATAAATTTCAATATCAACTTAAGCTTTAATTTATTATTGTATATGTCAAATCCCTTTTTCATTTTTTTTTTTTAAAGTTATTGGTATCAAATCTTACAGGGTCATCTCTTATTTGACAATATTACCCTTGCACTACTTATAACTTTTTTTTTCATTCCATTAGATTTGCTAATTTCAAAATGTTTTGAAAATCGGATTGAACTGACTAATTGAACCGACCAGGCGACCATGTTTCTAATCCATTCATTCCATAATATATTGTTCATTTCAATCACAATTAGATCATTAATTTAAGGGGAAATATTTTCTCATGTTGTTGAAAAAAGTATTTTTTATGTCACTCATATATTGATTTACATGTTTTTTTTTTTTTTTGGTTTTTTAATGGTGAAATCCACCTTAAATATGTGTATGTAGGGGGGAAAAATTGACGTGAAAGAAAAAAAAACAAAGCCCTTAATTCAAAGAATTGAACTATAAAATTCTCGGATTTAATTTTTAAAGCATTTTCCAAGACTATTCATCAATGGAAGTGAAAGTGAGACTTTCATTTTAGATGGTGCTACGGTCCTTTCCAAGATTTGAGGCATGCATTCATCAGGAATAAACATTTGAGCTTTTATGATAATTTATGTCCCCCAAGTTGTATGGCATGTTACTGATCTAAATAGCTGCCTTTCGATTACTCCTATAAAATTTGGGAAAAACATATATCTTTTTAAAGGATATAACCTTATATTATTTTAGATTCTAACAGTTGATTTTCGTCTATCAACAATTATAATTTAGGGAAAAAAGTTTCTGATGTTACTTTAGATAACTTTGTCTAATGTTCATCGAAACGACGTCGTTTTGGAGTTGAAAAATTAAAAAATTAGAATGATAAAGACTATTATAACCCTGAAATAAATTAAAATTATAAAAACACCATGATTTCCGTCCCAAAACGACATCGTTTCGATGAACATTAGATAAAATTATCTAAAGTAACTTTAGAAAAAACAAACCCTATTAATTATATTAGGTCAAACTTAATGGCCAAATTTTTTATTAATTAATTAATAATTTTGATCCAATAAATTATAACCGTTGATGGACAGAAATCAACGGTTAGGATCTAAAATAATATAAGCTTACATCCTTTAAAATGACTGATGTTATTCCCATAAAATTTTAAAGAAATTTGGCTTGTTCTGTTTTTCAGAAATATTTTTTTCTAATCTATTTTGATGTAAACAATCATTTTAACGACAATAAGCCCATTAGGTCAAACTTAATGGCCAAATTTATTATTAATTGATTAATAATTTTGATCCAATAAATTATAACCGTTGATGGACAGAAATCAACGGTTAGGATCTAAAATAATATAAGCTTACATCCTTTAAAATGACAGATGTTATTCCCATAAAATTTTAAAGAAATTTGGCTTCTTGTTCTTTTTTTCAAAAATATTTTTTTCTAATCTATTTTGATGTAAACAATCATTTTAACGACAATAAGCCCTTATTAATCTCTCAAAAATATTTTTCTTCTCATAATAACGATCTGTATCACCAATAGCTATTTTTAAATACTCCTAGTATTAACTTTAGAACCTTTTAAGATGAAATCAAATTTTAAACACTCACTACTATTGGCCATAAAAATTTACCTAAAATTTTCATTTTACATTATAATATCCCAAAGTCCATAACAGTCACGTTGAAAGTAACACATATAAAAATCATCACCCAATAAACTCGTTTACATTAAAAATAATTAAAATTAAATACATAATATTTTCTCAAAAGAAGGAAGTTTAATATTTAAGGGGGGAAAACCACATTGTAATTTAAACATCTTTTGTGGGAAGATAAAAAAAGTGATTTGGTCTTTCACTAGTTGATATTTTCCCCCTTCACAATGTTTTCTCAATATTTATAAAATTCAATACAAATTCATAGCTTATATGGTTCAGTAACTCCAGCTGAACTATGGGGCTTCTAGAAGAGCTATACTGACACAAAATTAGGGATGCTGTTAAGAGTTACTGAGTGTACAGTTGTTTTGGATGAGTTTAACACATGACAGTTCCTATACCTGTCGAAGATTTGGTGTATCTTGTGGCTTTGAAATAATTTCCTTTTCATCATAAATATAAAATGATCACCCATGACGTCATATAAGTATTACACACTACAAATAACCAAGATGATAAACAAATCACACATTCAAAACCTAATAAGGAAAAATATACGTATAGCTTACTACTTGCTGACACTATCATATGTTCATATTTAAATACTTTATAAATAAAGTAAAAGAAAGTACTGGGAACTAAACGCCATCTGTGTTGATAAGACGCATATTTTGTTAACCAAAATTTGTTGCCAAGCAATTCTGCATTGCGCACACCTCCAAATCACTTCCAGTATCGCAGCATGGTTTGAGAAATCTCATGTTAGAGACTTAAAAGTGCATCTACTCACTCTCTTCATCACTATTGACTATGTTCAAATGATTCATGTTCTTTTCAAGAGGTGGAAGCCCATCTTCAGAATCGGAAGAGTTTTGAATTTTATCCTTACTTTCAAGTGTCACAACTGTCCATGCAACAGTAGAAAACACAACACATTAGGACAAATTCCCAATATATTAGATGTATCTATAGGTAACAATCTTTTCCTTGTGATACAATAAAAAATCAGCACCCACACAGTAAAAACAAAATGCATCAGAAGCATAATTATGGCTTTATGTGCCCCATCTGAAGTACTGATATAAAAACACATTGCTGACTGACAAGGCAATAACTTTCTGCTCGATCTGCCTTAGAAAAGTTGATGTTATGCAATAGGCCTATAGAATAGAATTGCGAGAGAAAGGGAGGAACAAAAGGTTATGACCACAGTGGATACGTGTATGCATCAGTGATATCCATGCGTTCTCTCATTTGGATCAACAAAAGCAGAGTCATGGCATACCTTCCTAGCTAAATATACAAATGCTATAGAATATGTTTAACAGACAGGAGTAAAAGGTTAAGTGAAACGTGAAACAGCCAGAAAAAAAAAAAGATTCAAACCCCAATAAAAGGTGGTCTAATGCATAAGGCATTAAGACTACTACTATTACGTGGTCTGGAGAGAGTCAGCTGTACACATTCTTATGCCCATAGCGAAGAGGCTGTTTCCACAACCAGAACTCATGACCACCACCAGGTCACAAGGCAGCAAGATTACAGTTGTGCCTGTGGGCCAAGACCATCCTCTATACTGGAGATTAATTAGTTATGGTTTCCATTGTGTAAAAAACGATATCACAACCAAGACATACCTTCACTATCAGTAGGAGCCCTTGAAATCTGACTCTCTTGTGACAGCCAAGCATTTTGAACAGAAATAATATCAGCACTATTTTGGCATTTGGAGTAGGCATTCAGTAATTCTCTGCATGTATTTGCAGAAAGTTGTGAATATAAAAGAGTCTATGAAGCCATATGTAATTGAGAAACATATTAATTGAATCCCAATGTTTAGTTATGTATCTCATGGAAACAAAACAATTGGAATGAAGGGCCTAATTAGGAGATAATGACAAGCTAACTTACAGCCTAATAATCATAGCTAATCAGTAACTAGTTATTTACACGTGCCTAACCAATTCTAACATTTTACTTGGTTCAGTGAATTGATAATACAGATGTCCCAAAATTATTTTTTTACAAAAAATCTGTTCATGGTTACATACAGCGACAGCACTCAGCAGGTTCTACAGCAGTATTCATTTGCAAGCCATTTTTGCTTAAGATTTAAACTCAACTCAACAGGGTAGAAAATAAGCTTTGGAAAGGACGAAGAGTCAGATATGTAAATTAAGGATAGTTTTTTATGATCATAAATTTGAGGGTTTGAAAGAAACCAAGAGGGGCTCTGTGAGTACCCGGTTGCTTTTCTCATTTAATGGATGGGGATAATTTATGCCATGCTGGTATTTCGACTTGTGCCCTCATATATATCAGAAGTGAAAATAATCTTGATTACAAAAAAGAAGATAAAATAACAAAATTATATAAATGAAACATATCATACCCATTCAGAGACATAAAAGCGTGACCCCATTTGAACTTGTCAAGCAACAGATTTGCTGTTTCTTCTTCCCCACTTCAAGACCATAGCAAAGAACTTTAGCCATAGAGAATTGAGAAATGAATTATAGAAACACACCAAAGATAAATATATCATCTAATCACAGATGAGGCCATTTTGGTACCATATTGTCAAAGCAGCAGATAAGGCCTCTACACAAGATAGCTTACATGGCCGACCATAATTTACCGGATTTGCTGCTACAAGCCATGGCACTGCAATAAACAGAAAATATGATAAATTGATTATTATCACCTAAACAAGACAAGAAGATCAAATGCATTGGCGCTAGAAGAAACTTTAAGGCATCATGAACAACTACAATGGTACTTGTGTCAAGCATGAATTTTCTCATGCACTAGTGTATTTGAACAGAATATAAACAAACAAGTATGCAAAACCAAGAAAATAAAACGAAATTTGAATATATTCATGTTGGTGGCTAAGTTCATACAGAGGCGAGGAGCACTGCAGCGCAGCCTCACAAAAGGCACATCATCTAAGCGTGCCCATGAGCAATCCACAACAGCCAATCCTCTCTCCTTGATTAAAGAGTAATCTTCTCTTGAGACACATTGCTTTCCAACAGGACTGCCAAAACATAATTACAATAGATAATCACTATTAAGTGAACACAGGAACTTGCAATATATAGCTACTTAACAATCAAAATAGAATGCATTGTTTTAAAAAGTTAACTTAGTGCCCATTTGGTCTTGCTGTGAAATTTTTTGCATTTTCAAGAATTGCTTTCTTAAAAAATGCTTCAATAAAAATGTTGTTATATAGAAACAACTTTATCCAAACTTTTCATTATTTGCTGCTTCTTTTGCTTTCAAGGAGAAACATAAATTTCTTGTTTCTCTTTAGAATCAGAATTTTGCCTCTGATGCCATATTTGTATCCTGTGGCTAAATACCTCAAAATATCAAAATAAGTGTTCTTTAAACTAAAAAACAGCTTTTGTCAATTTCACAGCATGGTTAAACAGACCCTTAATGAAGGGACTAACAGGTGTTACGAGAGCGTTAACAACACTACTAGTGGAGACTCATGTATGGGGTCAACCCAACTTTCTACCATCCAATCAACCTCCTCTGCCAGTTTAAAGGCCAACATAAATGATTGTTTTCAATGATCGATTGCAATCATTTACTATCTGACACAGCATAATGACTAAATATTCAACCAAAAGCTTTAGGGCTGCAGCAAATTTGACAAAATAAGTTATATTGCAAGAAAGAGACAGGTTTATAACTGATTGAAGCAGAAGCCAAGAACATCTCTACAGTTCTAATCTTATGCCAAATCAACTAAGTGATAAAAATCATGAACCTGTTGACATGATATGTTATAATATAAAGATAAACCATGTTCAGGCAAAAGTAACAAATTGTTTAGGCATATAGTGAAAAAAAGATAGTTTAAGACCAAGTACCTTAGAACAATGCCCCCAAAACCATTACTCACACGTAACTCCTGCATAAAATCTATCATAGTCAGGAACACTAACATATTAAGCATGTTTAAATAGTGCAATTAGACCTACCTAGAATACTGAATCAATGATGACAAATATTAGGTGAGAACGTGAGAGGAACTAATCTTGAGTGACCATCCATGTCAGATTAAATGGTCAATATTAGCTCCTCTCACCTGATATGCTAAGAATATATGTGTGTGTTTAAAACCATTAACCAACCCTTTATAACATGAGTTTTTTTTTATACAACATCACTAGATTTTTCGATCCAACAAATTGTAACAAAATCCAAGTTATCTGAGTACTGTCTACAGATACTATGATATCTTGATAGATCACTACAGCAAGTAATTACCACAAATTAAAGTACTTGTGCCATTACAAAAACTTGAGATGTCTGCTCATTCATTAATCTAAGCAAAAGCTTCTCTTCCATGCTGCCTTGCCATCAAAAGGCTGCCTAAACTCAAAGGACTATCCTATTTAAAAAATTAAAATTCTAAAAGGATAGTTCATCTTACTGAAGTTGTCTTTTTGGAAATGCCTCTTCATATGTATTTACATATACATGATTATGCCTATATATGTAAACACATACATATACCAAATCATATGTAAAAAATAATTGGAGAATGAAGAAATAAGAGACCAAATACTTGCTTTTAACAAGCCCAGTCTTGAAAGCTTGCGTCCAGTGCATTTTTTGGCATCGCATTGCCCAAAATCCTGAGTTAACATCATGAACAACAATTACATCCAAAATATAAAATTACATGCCATGTAAATATTAGATTTGAATTCAGTGATGACATATACAGTAATATTACGCCAAATTGAAGGAACTTTTCCCAATAGGAGGGAAGACAGAAAACCGTACAGTTATAAATTCTTTTTAATCCCAACTGATTAGATGCTTCAAATTTTGATACAAACAAAATAAATAAATAAAGATGTTGTCATTGTAAAATCCCATATATATAGAAGCATGCACTGCTTCCTCAATATATATAAAGACGTAAAAAAACAAGAAATATAAATCCCATATATATAAAAGCACGCACTGCTTCCTCAACATCTCTTTAATTTTTAAACAACAAGAAATAATAATAATGGATAACTAAAAACCTCAGTCAAATTAAAATTAGGAAAACGGTTATATGCATACCCACATTGCAAGCTTTATTTTGGGGACAGTGACCGTGAGCTCTTCCTCCTCCACACCCCCACCAACTTCTGCAGTTAGAAACATATCATAGTGGGGAGAAAAAGTTAACATCTTTTGTTTGAAAACAAGAACGGGAATTGAACAAAAGATGGGGTAATCGACGTGCACCTTGAACAGAGCTTTGAGAATCTTCCTCTCTGAAGTACAGTGAGATCAATAACCAAACCCTCATGAATAGGAAATTAAAAGAAAAATAAAATAAAATTGAAAAGGGAAGAAAATAAATAAAAAGAATTGGGCACGAGGCACAGATATTGGGAAAGAATTTGTTACAGTAAGAGTTGGTGGTGTCGACTTGATTGACCACGATGGTCGCGATGAGTTCTGAATCTCTTTTGTCTATTATTGCCCATTTTTGCAAAATCATGCGAACCGGAAATCGGTCACAACAACAGTATGTTGCTCTTGTCGATGCTTGCTGCTTTTGGTTTTGCTATTCACTTCATATTTAGGTTTATTTGTTCATGTTTTGGTTCTACTAACGCAACAAATAAATAATTTAAGGGTTTTATTAATCTCATGTTAAAGGAGATAAGTTATCTCATGTCATAGAGATAAATAAACTTGTGCGCTCCATCTTCTAAAAAAAAAAATAGCATAGTCATCGAAGAGTGTGTAAGAGATAAAGTTGTCACATGTAGCATAAGAGTAATTTTTCTCATAATTTAATGGGTCCCCAACTTTTCGTGTTCCAAAATTTTGGATCCGTGAGCAATTACAATTATATCGATAAAAATAACGTATAATTAAAGGATTTAAATTGTCTCCTTTTACATGAGACAATTATCTTATATCAGTGAGTATAAAAAATTGAGCCATTTTTTTTTTGAAAATGGTGGGATTCACAAAATTTATTTTTATGGCACGATGCAAGTTATCTCTTATTAAAGAAGATTAATAAATCCCATAATTAAAATAGGAAAAAATATTTCTCTGCTCACCGGAGATAAAGTTATCTCCAATGAGCTTAAAACGACGTCATTTTATGATTATAAAATTAAAAAATTATAATAATAAAGACTAATATAACTTTGCAATATATTAGAATTACAAAATCATCTTAATTTCGGCCCCAAAACGACGTCGTTTTGAGCTCACCGGAGATAACTTATCTCTATTGACTAGAGTTATATCCCTTCCCCTGCCCCCATCGAGAAATAGAATAAATTCTTTACCCATTAAAATATTAAAGTTATTTTTTTTCTCTCCTTCGCATTGGCCGGCAACCTTATGACGATAGAGAAAAAAAAAACATTTTAAAATTACAATTACGTCTTACCAATAAGACATTCCTGTAACCGTATTTAAAAATCCAGCCACACCATCGACTCGGTCGAGGTCAGGGGTCACGGGTTTAACCGGAGGGTGACGGGGTCACTTTGCTTACCCGGTTTTATACATAAAAAATATGTAAATATATATCCGATATTAAAAATTCAAAAAAATTAAAGCACCAATCATTAAATATACAAAATATACTTAACATAATTCAACCAATTACATCCATAAGTCAATATTCACAAATTAATCAAAGTATCAAAGTATAAAACACATTCCAATTGAGTTAATGAAAATTTATATCATCACACTCTAGCACTTTTTGTCCTTCTCATGCACTTACAACAATATGTGAAAATAGATCATTTACCTAATAAAGAATAATGGAGGAGAGGGGATGGCACGACCAATTAACGTTGGGGAGAGAAGAATCAGTATAGTGGATGAGATTATCGAACGAGGGAGACTGGGTCTGGATCTGGAAGAGAAGAACGGAAGAGAAGATAAAGAACGATTCAGATTTCAGATATAGTTATAAATCTAGGCATCAACGAGTTTTTGTTTTGTTTTGTTTTTTGTTTTTTTATACATCAAAAGACATCATTTCGTGTATAATTTTTAAAAAAAATAAATAATGCAATGCCCCCTTTGACTCCTCTAACCCCGGGAGTCACGGGTTCAACCGAGGGGTTAGAGGAGTCAACGTGTAAGTAGGGTCTAGCTATTAACCCGAACCTCAGAGAGAGGGGGTAGTGACCCAGCAGGGTTGACCCCAGGGTGAGGCGGGGTTTTAAAACATTGGTTGTAATTGGTTGCGGCAAAAAAAAATTCTTTAGAGAAACATGAGAAGTGATTTTGCTAATTTAATATATAGGTTCAACGTCTCTTATATTATAGAAGATAAAATCGTTTCTTGTACACATAAAAAAGTTTTATCGGGCCCATACTTTTTTTTCTTACTCTTCTCTTCACATGACTTCATATGGACCCCATATATTTTTATATGTGTGTAAGAGATAATTTTATCTCTTACAATAAAAGAAACATCAAACCCTCACTATATATGTATAGGACAAATTATTTGTCATTTTAAATGACACAACTTTATTTTATTTTTAATGAAATTATGTTATTTTGGTGTGTATTTGGCAGTGTCTTAAAATCGGACTGGCCGGGTCGACCTCGGTGACCCGGTGGGTTCCCCAGTCTGAGCGGTCATTTGGACCAGTTCTGCAATCAACTCGGTTTGGATTGGTTGACCCGGTCAAGACCCGACGACTCGGTGACCCGATTGACCCTCTCTCTTTTTTTATAATATTTTGTTGTTTCTGAGAACTCTTGAAATAAATCATGCTCATATTTTGTGGTAAATATGATTAAAAAGTAAGATCAAAATAAGAAGGTATTTTTGATTAGTGCAGTTCGTTTATGTAATTTAGTTGCATATTATAATGATCTCAAGAAGTTAAGTAGGGATAAATACTGATTGTCTCACCCTTAACGATGGACACTTTCTCTTAGTGTATATTTCATGCCTACCATTTGATATCATGATTTAGTTTATCTGAGTTATGTCAAGGCACAAAATGTGCATTTAGCTTACATTACAATTTTAATCCAAATTTAGAATATGGTCTAGAGTTAGAAGTCTATAAGTATATAATATTTGCTATCATGGAGAACCAACTTATTTTTGCAGCTCATTGATAGTTTTCTTAGGTGAATTTTTAATATAAGTAATACGTTTATGTTTTTTTAATATGTAAACAATAAATTCGATTGAACTAATGACCCAGTGACCCAGTACCTCGATCGAGTCAATAACCGTTTCGAGTTGTAAAACACTGGTATTTGGTATTTTTTTACATTTTCTCTCTTCCATAAAATTAAGAAGAGAGAAGAAGGGGAAGAGAGAATGTAAAAATTATCAAATACATATCAAAATGATGTAGTTTCATAAAAAAATTGACACCAATTTGTGTCATTTCAAATTACAGATATTATACAAGAAAATAACAAATACTTTTCATATATATATACCCCTTTCAGTATAGTTAGATTATAATATTATCCAACGGTGAAGATTTACTATATAAAATAAACTCTTTTACTACTTTCGATCTCTTACCGCCTCTTAATTTTTTTTCTCTCCTCTCTTTTCTCTCTCTTTAATGGCGCTTCAGCATCAAACAAAGGTGCAAGCTTTTTTCTCAATTCATTCAACCCAGTCATTGTTATGAGCATTTACATAAAAAATTGAAAATGAGTGTCAAGAAGAAACAAACCCAGATGCCCTATGCTATGGGATCAGGTAGGGGTATTCATCAACAGATCCAAACCGATTCAAACCGTGGTGACCGAACCGATAACCGATAACCAAAAAAAACCGCAAATTTTAATTGGATTGGATCAGTTTTTGGATGGGTTGATGAAAATCGATCAAATCCAAACCGATCCAATATATTAATTCCTTTCTACCTACTTGGATCTTTCCCCAATCATAGCCCAAAAGTTTTTAAACCCAAGACTCATTGGGTATCAACTAAACCCAAGAAAAAATCTAGTCACATCTCATCAACAATTTTATCTTTGTAGAGTTTCATATCTCATTGCCCAAAAAAAAAAAACTATATTATAGTTTACTAATGCTTTTTGTATTTAAAATAATAATAATTTACAAAGCCAATATATACAAAAGATATTATTTGCATAATAATCATGGAATAAATTTTAGGATTTTCAAAAAACCGAAAACCGATCCAATCCAAACCGAAAAAAATTGGATTAGATCGGATCGGATTTGAAAAAAAATTCAAACCGAATGGATGATTATATGAGCAAACCGATGGGATTAGATCAAATGATTTTTGCTTCCAAAATCGATCCAATCCAGATCGCGAACACCCCTAGGATCAGGTATGCATATTGTTGGGCGTATCAGAGAGAACAGAGATCATTTTCCCACTTCAAGGTGAAAAATAAGATAAGAAAAAGAAGGTGATAAGTTAATTCGATTTCAAATTTCAACAGCAAAATAGAAACGTTACGGTAATCGTGGATTCATTCAAAGAAGGGATTCTTCGTGGTTTTCATTTTTTTGTATTTATGTGGTTTTTGTCGTGTTCAATTATATCAAATTCAAAGAATTTTAAAAATTATATTTATCCAACAGAATTATCATGCCATCAATTATTGATTGGATTTAGATCCAAATATAAATTAGATTGTGAATTACGCAAATCGATAGAGAGAAAGAGTGTGGGAGGTATAAGGAGAAAGAAAGGAGAAAATGGTTTATTTTAAATAGTAAATCTCCACCATTAGATAAGATTGTAATCTAACGATATTGAAAGGGGTAGACAAAGGTAGGCAAAATAAGAGTAGACAGAATAACCTATCCTCCCCCCCCACACATATATATATAGGGAAGAATCCTTTAACATCGGCGTTAAACTTAGAAATTTGACATCAAATCCTAACCGTTGATTTCTGCTAATCAACCATTATAGTTTTCGTAAATCAAACTTATTAATTAATTATTAATTTTCAATAAATGATGACCGTTAATTAGCGAAAATCAACGGTTAAGATTAGTGTCAAACTTTAAATTTTGACAACTCCGGTATCACACGATCCTATATATATATATATATATATATATATATATATATATATATATATATATATGTTATTCTGTCTACTCTTAATTTGCCTACCCCTTTTAACACCATTATATTATAATCGCATCCAATGATGGATATTTGTAGTATAATATAAATATTTTACTCTTTTCATTCTCCTTCTTGTCTCTCACCCTTTCTCTCTCCTTCTTCTTCTATCTATCAACCAAGACAGAGACAACTCATTCTACTGTAGAATTGTATTCAGTGTTTCTCTTTTAAATAATAACATATGATGATGCAACTCATTGTATTGTAGAATTGTAGTAATTGAATCAGCAAAAAAAAAATTCGATTAATATATTTGTGCCCGCAAGTCATTGTATTGTGGATAAATCAATCAACATTTTTGTTTTCTTTCTCAACCACGAAGGTCTCCACCCTCATTTGCACTATTCAACAATTTAGAGGTCCTTGATATGAAAATTCCCTTTTTATTTATTGGATTTTCTTCATTTTGTTGGGGATTGAAATCATGGGGATGAGACTGCACCCTTTTGTTATCTCTGCCTTAAACCTAGTTTAGGTGTTTAGAATTATCGATTTTACAGTAAAACAAACTATGAAGAAAGGAGAAGAGAGATGTGTTGAGGAGAAAGAAAGGAGAAAAATGATTTATTTTATTTCGCAGATCTCTACCATTTGATGAGATTATAATCTAATGGGTATTAAAAGGAGTAGGCAAGGGTAAGAAAAATAAAGGTAGGCAGAATAACCTATTATATATATATATGGTTATATTTATCTCATTTTAGATGAGATAACTAAGTTCCCTACACACACAAAAGATGGGTAGGTCCTACTTCTTCTTCTTTTCTCTCTCCTCTTACTTATGGGTCTCACTTGCAATCTTGTTTCTACAACATAAGAAAATTATTTTCCATATATATATAGAAAAAATATTTGTCCTTTTAAAAGATATAACCTTGTGTCATTTTAGATCTTAACCGTTGATTTCCGTTAATCAACAGTTATAATTTATTGGGTCAAAATTATTAATTAATTAATATTAAGTTTGACCTAATAAATTATAATCATTGATTGACAGAAATCAACGGTTATGATCTAAAATGACATAAGGTTTATATCTTTTAAAGGGACAAGTATTTTCCACATATATATGGGAAAAATATTTCTCAATCAGCTTGAGATAAGTTTATCTTCGACTAACCCCAAACTACGTCGTTTTATTTATTTATTTTCTTATATCAATTGATTCACTTTTGAATGGTTATGATTACCTTTTTCTCTCTCTATTCCTTTATCACTATTGATTCATCTTTGTACGGTTATGATTTAGTAGCTGGAGATAAAATTATCTCAAGCAGCTTGAGAAATGATAAGTCCTATATATATATAGTTTATATTTATCCGCTTGACGTCTAACAGTCAATTATTTACCATATACATAGGTGACAACATTCAATATGTGAAATCATGACCATATTAAAGGTGAAAGCATTAAACGTGAGAAATCATAACCATACACATCATTGTTGGACGTCAAGCGGCTGGAGAAATAATTTTACAATATATATGAAAAATCATTCTCTCATTTACATGAGAGAGTTATCTTATGCACTCTCACATTGAAAATAATGTCACCATTTTTTTCTTTTTTTTAATGGGCGATGGGTCCCACCACAACATGTGTGAGATACTTATCTCCAATAACATGAGAAAATTGAACCCTCTGAAACACGGACACGCCATTTTTGAGAAAAATTGCGTGTCCGACACGGACCAGTTAGGACACTCGTCCGACACGCGGTCAATTTTTTGGGACACGTTGACTAGTGGGACACGCGAGTTTGACCGAATTCGACACGCGGTCAACGTATGGGGACACGTTTTGCATTTTTTTTTTTTATAATCTCAGGGAACTCTTTTTTTTTTTTTTTTTTGGTAATCTCAGGGAACTTATTTTAAAAAGAGTGATTTGTTATTTGTTTGAATAACAATTTGTTATTTGTTATTTGTTTGGATCAACAGTAAATTATCCATTTATTTGAATAAATATCAAGCAGAGGATATTAAATTCAAAAATGATAAATTCATTATTAATGATGATAATTTAATAATTATGTCATTTTAAGAGAGAGAAAAATACAACCTAGTATTTTTTGTATTTAAAATTTAAAAAAAATTACTCACTTTCTCTCCTATGATTTAAATTTTAAAAAATTATCGATATATAATTATCAATATCGTATGATACACGATATGATTTGTACGATACGATACAACTTAGAAGCATACCGATACGTATTGTGAGGTGTATTGTACGAGACAATATGATACTGTATCATACGATACGATACATGATACAAAAATTAAATCAAAATCTAAAATTTGTAATATAAAAAATAAGGATTTTTGACCCTTTTGCCCCTAATTAAATAATTAATAACCAATTTGCCCCTCCCCCAGAACTATCCACCATCCTGCCCCCATTTAGTCGATTAAGTTGCACTTTTAATCGACTAAATGGGCTAAACTCATAAATTATGAAACGCGAATTTTAGTCGACTAAAAACTCACCTTAATCAACTAAATTGTTTGCACTTTTAGTCGACTAAGAACATTATTTAGTCGACTAAAGATCGCGAAAAACCCTATATCCAGACCTCTCTTGGCCTCATTTTTATTATATTCGAAATCAAAACTCCTCTCTTGGTCTCTTTCTCTTGTTTGTCAGCTGTGAACCTTCCAATCACCCTTCCATTTCATCCCACCACCTCTAAGGCATAGTAATTGTGAAATCATTGTCATTTTCCTTTATTTCTCAATTGTTTCCCCCAAATCCGAACCCTAACCCCTAAAATCTGATTCCTACCCCCAAAATTCGTGTGAAAGATGAGCTCAAGTCCAAACATGTATGTTACCATGATTTACTATGATGGAAAGCATTATGAAGGCCCCAACGGTGTTCAATTTGAAGGAAAAACGAAAATGTTGAAAATCAAACGGGGCACTACGTACAATGAGCTGAAAGGGAGAATTAACCAAAAATTGGGGCTACACGGCAGCCATGGCGTTCAACGGATGATCGCCAGGGTAGAGTCTACAGTTGGTAAGGATGCTATATTCTACATTGGTAATGATATATGTGACGATGAAGATGTGGACTGTGTCATAGATGCAATTGTGGACCGAAAATTTCAAAACTTTATTGAGATATATGTTGAAATAGACTGTGGTCAATCTTCATCTGCACCTGTGCATGGAAGAAGTCAAAGTCAAGAAGACACAGTGGTTGGTTTATCTGCACCTGCACCTGTCTTAAGTCAGATACCATTGAGGGAAATAGACGAGGATGAGGATGAGCATGACGAGGATATGGACAGTGAAGACGATGGTGAACCCGAGAGTGTTATTCCGCTGGGTGACACCTCAGATACGGGGGTTGAGATTCAGACTTGGTTGGAGAGAGGGGACGAAATGGAGCGATTTAGTCGATTAGGGTTTGAAAATAACCCCGTTTGCGAAATGGGAGGGTTTTTAAAAAACCTGATCTGCGACATTTAGTCGACTAAATAATGTTCTTAGTCGACTAAAAGTGCAAACAATTTAGTCGATTAAGGTGAGTTTTTAGTCGACTAAAATTCGCGTTTCATAATTTCTGAGTTTAGCCCATTTAGTCGATTAAAAGTGCAACTTAATCGACTAAATGGGGGCAGGATGGTGGATAGTTCTGGGGGAGGGGCAAATTGGTTATTAATTATTTAATTAGGGGCAAAAGGGTCAAAAAGCCTAAAAAATAATGTAATTTTTTTTTTTTGGAGTTACCCAACCCTAATTACCTCTTTGAGGCGAGTTGGCTCCCTCCGGTATCCCCACGAGCTTCGACTCTTTGAGCCGGCTATGAGACTAATCCGAAGTGCGGGGGATCAGTGATGGCTAAAGGTTCAACCCCCTCCCCAAGAATGCATTCAGCGGGAATCGAACACATGTCTAACCCCACTAACTCAGTGCTAAGGAACCAACTGAGTTGCACCCATTGGGTCAAATAATGTAATTTATAATTTAAATTAAATATATCTAAAAAATTATTTTAATAAGGAAAAGAAAATAAATATTTAATTTGTGATTTAAATTCAACAATTAATCCAAAAAATTGTATTAATAAATAAAATAATTAAATAAATATTTTTAAAATATTTTTTAGTATATTTCTGTATCTTATGATTCATGATATATAATATAAAAAAATGGCTAAATACCACACGTTAAGTATTGTAATTCAATAACCTTAATTTATATTTTAATATAAATTTGATCAATTTAATACCCTTTACTGTACCCGATAACAAATTGGTCGTACCAACATATAAAATTAGATTTTCGGGCGAGGCTCAAGCACAGGTGCACTGTAATGACGGTGAGATAAATTGATAAATAATTTTCAAGGTGGAATAAATTGATAATTTTCTTTTAAAACAAGGAACTTTGGCCACTCAGCGAGTTTAAAAGAAAAAGAAAAAGAAAAAGAAAAAATAAACTTTCTTCAGTAGGGATTCCTCCTTCATACATGATTAAAATCACATAAACATCCAATTTACTAGAAAATAAGGTATCACCCTGCGGTTGCCTTTGTGGCAGAGGCTCGGACACAACACAACCACTGCAATCGGCAAACAAATAGCTTCACTTCACAGATCACTCCCTCCACACTCTCAAGTCTCATCTCACCCGCATTATTACAGTCTTTTCCGCAAAACACCTTGTGTACCCAATCTCTCAGACCGTACTGCTCACTGCTACAATGTTGCTGAGGTACACCTATCTAAACCTACACTTTTAACACTTTATTTATCTTTGCGTCATTCATTTCTCGCACTGCAATTGAATCCTTTCGTTTTTTTTTTTTTATTCCAATGATTCCATAACCGCTCTTTTGATTTCACTCTCTGTGACTTCAATGCTGAGACATTCTTAAGCTTGATGGCTTGTCGTGCGTATTGCAGGTCCATTTTGGAAATATCATCTCGCCATACCCTTAGAAGGAACCCTAGACCTTATATAATTCAGGTACCTTTTTTGTACTGTTTTTAAAATTCGTTTTCAATGCATTTGGGGAATTATTGTTTGCATATGCCGTGATGGCAAATGATTCAATAGAGGAACCAAATATTTAATCTGGGAACTGGAATTGGCTTTGCTGTTCACCTTTATGTTTTAATCTTTTCACAAACAGTTTTTGACCCTTAATAGTTAATACCAATTGACCAAGTCCAGACATGGGAGTTGGGATTGATAATTAGCTTACTCAGGAAAGCATTTGAACAACAGAAATACTATTTCACTTTTATTAGCATGTCATATCCTCATTCTTCTCTACTTTTACTCAATTCGATCCAAAAGGAGTAAACAATCTATGTCATCCCTTTTTCAATGTTTTTGCCTCCATCTTAACTGACAGTCAGACACCAACAATTGAAAGTTAAAACCCTTCCATGCCTCTTCTGAGTTATGATGCATGACAGCAGAACAGTTAGGATTTCTTAAATGAGTTAAATGTATAAATTAGGGGAATTGAAGGCTCATTCAGGCTATGTGAGCGGAGTGCTGGTCTGGAAGCAATAGTTTGGGGTTTAAGGTTCAATTGGTGGCTATTAGAATACTGTGAACAGAATCTGTGATGTTAGGATTTTGAGATTGATAGGCCTAGGTTAGGTCTTTGAAGAATAGACACTCACATGGACATGCCAAGCAGACACAGGGACACATCAACATCACCTTTATTCCAAGTTAATTGGGGTCGGTGGTAGATGAACCCACATGAAAGATACAACACGGTTGTAAAAAAAAAAAAACGAGAAGTAGTGATATATATATGTATATATAAATAAATAAAAGTAAAAAAGAAAGGGAAAAGAAGAAGTGGGGAAAATTAAGGGGAAAAAGACTAAAAATGGACCATCTGGAACATAGGAATAACAATGAGTCTAACCCTCCACCATACTTATAGCTTTTCTCCATTCCGTTCTAAGACATACCGTCTGCCAATCTATATCCCACTCCATTAAGTCTTGTTTTACTACCTTTCCGTAAGTAAGTTTCGGCCTACCTCTGCCTCTTTTTGTGTTGAGCTCTTGGTAACAAACTTCTGTTCTGACAGGAGCATCCAGAGGCCTTCTCATCACGTGCCCAAACCACCTCAATCTATGTTCTCTCATCTTTTCGGCTACCGGTACTATTCCTACCTTTCGTCGAATATCTTCATTTCTTATCTTATCCATCCTTGTATAACCATACATCCACCTTAACATCCTCATCTCTGCTACTCCCATCTTATGCTCATGTTGCTTATGCGCTGGCCAGCATTCCGCTCCATATAGCATTGCCGGTCTTACTGCTGTTTTATAGAATTTTCCTTTTCACTTAAGGGGGATTTTGCTTTCACACAAAAACCCAGATGCACTGTGCCATTTCATCCACCTTGCTCTGATTCTATGATTTACATCCTTATCAATCTCTCCACCTTTTTGCAAAATGGAGCCCAGGTATTTAAAAGCATCTTTTTTGGGTACCTCTTGACCACTTAGTTGCACGGGATCTTGGTCCCCATCTCGTACCAGAGAAAACTCACACTTCAGATACTCAGTCTTGCTTCGACTTAAAGTGAATCCTTTGGATTCCAATGTGCTTCTCCACAATTCAAGTTTTCTATTAACACCATCCTTGCTCTCATCAATAAGCACAATATCGTTTGCAAAAAGCATACACCATGGCACTTTCTCTTGAATATCTTTTGTTAGTTCATCCATAACTAAGGCAAAGAGATAAGGACTTAGAGCCGACCCTTGGTGTACACATACCGTGATAGAGAAATAATTTGATGTTCCGTTACAAGCTTTTACACATGTAGTAGCCCCATCATACATATCCTTGATTGCCTTTACATACTTTAATGGAACCTTTTTCTTCTCCAGAACCCACCATAAAACTTTCCTTGGAACCCTATCGTATGCTTTCTCAAGGTCTATGAACACCATATGTAAGTCCTTCTTCTTTTCTCGGTATCTTTCCATTAGTTGTCGCATCAAGAAAATGGCTTCCATGGTACATCTTCCTAACATAAATCCAAATTGATTTACAGAAACCTTGGTATCTCTCCTCAAGCGATGTTCAATAACCCTCTCCCACAACTTCATAGTACGACTCATTAGCTTAATGCCTCTATAGTTTGAACAACTCTGTATATCTCCCTTGTTTTTGTAGATAGGTACAATCATACTTTTCCTCCATGCATCAGGCATCTTATTTGGCTGAAGAATCTTATTGAAAATATTGGTCAACCATTTTATTGCCACATCCCCCAGGCCTCTCCACACTTCAATAGGGACACCATCAGGCCCCAAGGCTTTATTAGTCTTCATCCTCTTTAAAGCCTCCTTAACTTCATGTGTATTAATTCTGCGCACAAATCTTCTATTCATATCATCATACGCGTCCTCCAAGTCCACCTCGCTTGTATCTCCATCCCCATTAAACAGCTTGTTGAAGTAGTTCAACCATCTTTCATTTACATAGACACAGGGACACACTAAATTTTAAAAATTTTAGACATGGCATATATATATATATATAGGGTAAGGATCATTTTACACCAGTGTAAGTTACACTCTTAATCTTAGCCGTTAATCCCACTTTTATCTAAGGGCTCAAATTTTTTAGTAATGTGAGCCATTGGATACAAGTGGATCAATGGTCAAGATTGAGTGTAAGACTTCTAATTCTTACACCGGTGTAAGAATATCCTGCCCCATATATATATATAGATAGATAGATATTCATAATTCATATGTCATATATATAAAGGTTTCCAATGTCTTGATACATGTCATGTGTCAATGCTTGCTATTTGTAAGCCCCTCTCAAAAAATATGGAGCGTCATTTCTATTATGTTTAAAAAAATTTCCTAAACGAACGTGTCATAGTAGAACAAGTCATGTACAATTACAAGGACAACAATAATTTTCCCCTAATTTTAAATGGCAGTGTCTGAGTTGAAAGATTATTTTAAAATTGAACATGTAAGGACATTTGACGGACACATGTTGCTAGATGTTGTACAAGTGTCCATGGAAGACATGTAGACAAGGCACCAAAATGGTGTGTCATGCTTTATAGGGGTAGATGTAGGGAAGAATCAACCTGCAAACAAATGAGTTCTGGGTGCTATCTAGCTTTGGATCCAAATCTTGGTGTGCATATTAGAAAATCAGAAAAAAGGGTTAAGAAGAGTAATCATCAAACTTAGGGTGTGGTTGTATCACACAACAGGAAGGCATGATATTGATGACCAAACACAAAGCTAATCATCCATTCCTTCTTTGGTAGATGAATACATGACACATCACTTAAATAGAACTAGTAAAACTTGGGGAACATGTAGTCCTAAAATTGAAGCCCAAGTTATATAACCTACCACTAATAGGCACAGATTGAAGCCTAAGTAACTGAAACAACTTAAGAAAAAGCCACAAATTTGAATCCCCAAAAAATGATTAAAATACCAAAATATCTGTATGTCTGAAAATATAGTATTAACTAAAATAAATTCACAAATCCTTAAGCTTCCTCCTTATAGTTTTTACTGCTGACTGGATGATTCTCTTTGTTTGGAGAAGCTTTGAAATCTATAAGTTCCGTGCCCTTGCCTCTGAATAAGATTTATTTTCTAAATATTACTTGAGCCTCCTTGTTGTTGTAGAAGGAAATGATTATAAAGACCAATGACTTTGTTGCTCACAAGGTTATATTTATGTTCTATTCTCTGGATAGTTTTGAATCATGCACTGCAGTAACATCTTCATTTTCACTTCAATTTCTATTTCCCATCTTTTCGTCTTCTACATTTTCTATATAATACAGACTTAGTTGGCTTTTGTTAGATTTTGCCCCATGTTCATGCATGATCATATTTGTGGATGTAGCTCCCTACATTAAAATAAGATACATGTAGGTAAATTGGAGACTAGGAGAATATATTGAAGCTTTTAAAAGTTAGGAACAAAACTATGAAGGAGATCTCTGGCTGCTACCTGATGCATAGCATGGATAATGGCTTGTTTTGATTGGAGTAAATCTGTAAACATGCTCAATGGTTGCTTGGATTTAACCAATTTCATGGTCAAGTCACAAGTGTAGATAGTTATTGTACAAAGTAGGAAAAGTACAATATTTAAAACGTGCAGTACTTTAGTAGACTAGTAGTTAGCAGAGAAAGAAATGCTTAGCACAAATAGTGTAAGATCCTCAACAATCTTGAATATTTGAAAGAGGAAGAGTGTTTTGTGCTATTATGATAGAACTGTCACTCTTGCCTGCATATATGCTAATTGGTGCTATGTTGAATGAAATGTCAGAACAATAATAACTCAAATGAAGCATCTATTCTGTCTGCATATTTGATGTCTTTATATTATTCATTGAATTACTGTTTCTGACTAACAGCATTGTTGTAGCAATTATGTAATTTACCTGCATATTTCACTTCTTTATAGCACAATGATCAATGAATTTATATATGGATATACTGCATTGCTGGTGCTAATTCTGCCACATCTCATTATTGTACTAATTTGATTATAGGATTGTAGGACAGGAGAGGTGTTAATGTTGAAATGCTTGTTCTTGCTATAAAAATACAATTTCTATAATTTACTGTACTTGTATATATAAAGAGGGCAAACCTGGAGCTGTGGTAAAGCTACTCCTTTGTAACTGAAAGGTCATGGGTTTGAATTCGGAAAATAGCTTTTTTACAAATATGCAAGGGTAAAACTGCATACCCCTACCCTTGCTAGTCGGGGTTTAATAGGGAGTGGTTACTGTACTTATATATATATATATATATGTGCCAGCCTGCCAGGAACTACTTTGGCTGTTGATTTGGTGATACTGATTTCCAATTTGAATCAGCTCCATATGTTACCCCTTTTCTAATTTATTACCCTTTTTTCTTCACTGCATAATTTTGCAGATACGCGCACATCTATCTTCACATCTAAAAGGATTCCCCTTACTCCTACCCTTGCTAATCGGGGTTTAATTGGGAGTGGTTACTGTACTTATATATATGTGTGTGTGTGTGAGATTTCCAATTTAGGCTGTTGATTTGGTGATACTGATTTCCAATTTGAATCAGCTCCATATGTTACCCTTTTCTCATTTATTGTCCTTTTTTCTTCACTGCATAATTTTGCAGATACCTACACATCTACCTTCACAAAAGAGATTCTCAACTGCATCGAAACCAAGTGGTGCCCCAGCTCCTGGTTCTACTGGCAAGCCACCTGAGTCTAATGACACTTTATCAAAGTTTTTCATTGGAAGTGTTGCTCTAGGTGCTGCTTTTCTTGCTGCTTACCAAACTGGTTATTTGGATCAATATCTTCAGAAGGAGCAGCATAGTGTTCCCCAGGAAGCTCAAATCAATGCTGCCACTGGAGATTCGAAGAGTGTACAACATTCATTGGACCAGTTAGTTTCACCTAGCAGTGAGAAATTTAACAATGAAAAACCTTCTGTAGAACATGCAGAGCAGAAGATTGATACCCATTTTCCTCAGCCAGAAAATGTAGTAGAAGATCAAGGTGATAAGTTGTTTCAAGTGCAAGACAAATCTGATATTGCTGAAGATGGCACTACTGCTGCCAAAGAAAACCAGTTGCCTGAGTATCCTCATAGCAGTCTAACATCTGCTGATACAAGTAAAGAGTCTGGGGTGCAATCTGAAGGGATTGTTGACATAAAAAGCACAGAGACAGATATTGTTCCAGGACTGGAAGAGGGAATTCAACATACATCCACATCTACACAGCCCGGTGCAGTTCCAGATGAAAATGGGATGAAAAATATTCAACCAAAGCAACAGGAAATAGAGGAGAGAAAAGAGGTACTTATGAGTTTGTCATGACTTAATATCCAGGTTAATCATTAATATCAGCTGTGGTCTTTTTGATAATTATGCTGGTTTAAATTTCATAATAATATGTGAGCTTATCAAATGATTTAGTTGTTCCCTAGCATTCAACAAGGATTTTTTTTCCTGTTATCATTTTTTTTCTGAAATGAATTTTGACATTTATTGCTTTTTAATACATTTCCTTTGTAACACCATTGCAGAATGCATTTGGTGAAGATATAGAACAACAACCCACTCTCCTTGAGGAATATAACTTACGGAATAAGTCAGAAGGAAGTCCTTTAACTTATTTATATAGTCATGGCCTTACTGAGAATACCCATTTTCCTGAAGAAAAAGAGGTTACTTAGAATCTTTTATTTATTTTTATTTTATTTTTGGTGCATTTATTTGTGATCTCGATCATGCATGAAAGCTAATTTGTTAAAGCGCTAGGCTCTTGGTGGTGCAATGGAGGAGTTGAAAGATGGTTACGTGTCTCAGGATGGGAAACTGGTTCTTGATTTCTTACAAGCCATCCATGCTGCGGAGAAAAGGCAGGCGGACTTAGATGCACGTGCTTTTAATGAAGAGAAGAAAGTGTTGAAGGTTTGGCCTATAACATAAATAACCTTTGTAATGTACTCTCTAATCTCAGAAAGTGTGCTTAGTGTTTGTAGATTTTTGGTTTATTAATGAGCTATGTAATCTTAGTTTTTCTTACCACTTCGATCATGTAAGGAAAAATATGAAAAGAAGTTAAAAGATGCAGCTGCCAGAGAACTTATGCTTGCTGAAGAGGCTGCAATGTTGGACAAGGTAAAAAGGTTTTTGGTTTTCTTTTTTTATTCAATTTAAGTACAAAAGACATTGAGAGAGGCTGCCCCAGTTTTTTAAACAGAGAATAGTTCCCGTATATGGGACTATGGGTTTGTTGTTCAGTTTATATACATTTACTTAATCATAGTTACTTAGTCTTGATTGAGCATAATAGTTCATATTGAAATTGAAGCTGTACCATTATATTCCGAGTTTGTCTCTATAATGGTCACACAAAAATAGTCAGTATCAAATTTGAACCCTCAGGCTATCAAGTTTGTTTTATTATTGTGAAGCTTGTCCATGCATCGAGTTAAATGATGTACTGTTTGCTTTTTCTGTCCAGATGACCAGAATTCAAATCTAAAAAGTTATGAAGTTTTTATCTTTCCTCCTTTATATGTATATATATATATATATATATATATATATATATATTTGTAAAGAATCTGATAGGATCACAACAATGGATCATGGGCTGGAGGCTGTTCTGGAGGCAAAGACAGAATCTCAACCCATTCATAAGAAGTGGAATGGTCCAGTTTTAGTGTATCAGAGGAGGAATAAAAAGAAAGGGGAGGGAATAGATGACGTGTAATGGTTGGTTACGAAGTTGTTATGCGTGAGTTACATGGGCAGGGAAGAGAGAGAATTAGTGGTAGTTTGTTATTTCCATTGTCTATAATAGTTTGAAGATTCCCTTAGAAGGGTATTCATGTTATTTCCATTGTCTAATGGGGAGATCTCCATAGCTGGGAGCTTTGGCTCTTTTAATATTTCTGTAATCGTTTGTCTCTTTTCAATTAATATACAGATTAATTCCTCTTGTTTCGATAGGAAGAGTTTAAATCCTATCAATTGGTGCTCTCATTGAGAGTGTTAATTTTCTTTGGAGAGGAAGAACAATAGTGTATGCTCACCAGAATGACGTCTCAGCGTGTAGATGTTCTTGACGCAAGAATGACAGCGGTGGAAAATTCGTTGAAATCGCAGGAAGCACTTCTTCGTTCCCATGACCTCACAACCAAGTCTCACTCCAACCAACTTGCAGACCACTCTGTGAAGCTCGGTTCATTAGTCACCAGCGTTGCAGAAATTGTGAACAGCCTGCAAGCATTGCACGCTGAAGTCAAAAATGGGTTTCAACGCAATCAACCAGCAACGGAAAACTCAACCGTGATTTTGGGAGAGGGCAGCGTGACGTCGAAGGAGAAGGCAGCGATTCAGAGCGATGACGGATCTCCGATAACAGTACTCAACAGCGAAACCCAACACGATGATTACCGGATCAAAGCGAAACGCATAGAGCTTCCAGTATTCACCGGAATCGACCCCGTGGGATGGGTTGCTAGAGCGGAGGCTTATTTCGCAGTACAAGGAACACCGGTAACCATGCGCGTCCAATATGCCCAGATTTGCATGGAGGGCCCCTCATGGCATTGGTTCAAGGTGCTCAAAGAATCAGATGCTCGATTAGATTGGGAGCGGTTTAAGCACGCACTATTCGATCGATATGGAGAGGGTCATTTTGGCAACCCCTATGCCCAATTGAAGGGGCTGCTTCAGGGCGGTACGGTGGACGAATATGTGGAAGCATTTGAGATGCTCTCAGCCCAGATCCCTCCCATGCCTGATGAACAATACATGGGTCTTTTTATTGGCGGCCTTCGAGATGAAATCCGACTTGAAGTCCTTTCCCTAGAGCCACAGGACCGGTACAAACTGATCTCCATGGCTAGAACAGTGGAGCGTAAGATACAAGGAGGAAAGACGACGCAAACGAACCATAGCCACAACTTTAAGCAAGGGCTGGTTTCTGTTCAGACCGGTTTGGGAGAGAGAGCCCCAGCCAAACCAACCTTAGGTATAAACCCAACAAGGCCCAATAAGCCTGATGATAGGAAAAATGGGCCCAGTCCACGTGGAATGCGTAACTTATCCTATCCGGAGATGATGGACCGTAGAGCCAAGGGATTATGCTTTAAATGTGGACAAAACTACAGCCCAACCCGCCAGTGTCCAGACAAGCAACTTCGATTGCTCATTTGGGAAGAGGACGACGTCGTTGGGAAACCAGAACCCCTAAGTGCAATAGAGGAGCGCACCGACACTGAAGATTGGGAATTGGTGTGCAACAACGTCAACTACGAAGATGTGATGACGGAGACGCTTCAAGCGAAGACGATGAAGGTTGAAGGAGAACTAGAGGGGTTTCCGATCTTGGTGTTGATCGATAGTGGCGCGAGTCACAATTTTATTACTGCGGAGCTCGTGAATTCGTTGAATCTTCCGATTGATAGCACCAAGGAGTTTGTTGTCAGTCTCGGCGACGGTAGTAGAAGAACGTCGAAAGGGAGATGCACAAAACTCCATCTACAGTTGGGTCAATATCAACTGACGATAGGGGCGTACCTACTGGAGTTGGGTGGAATCGATTTAATATTGGGAATCGAATGGCTGGAAACCTTGGGAGAAGTGTGCCAGGATTGGAAGAAGAAAACGATGCAGTTCTCTTGTCAGGGAAGGAGGGTCAAGCTGAAGGGTTATCAGATGCGTAAAGAGATGCAACCCATGTCTCTACAGGGGCTGTTACACGGCATCGAAGCAGACGTCAAGGGGAAACCTGACGACTCTGTTGTCTTACTGGGTTCGCATCTGACAGAGGAGCAACAAGGTGTCCTCAATCACACCCTCACCCGATTCCAGGACGTTTTCACAAAAAAACAGGTGCTGCCTCCCGTTCGACTACACGACCATGCCATAAACCTTCTCCGAGGAACCGGTCCGGTCAGTGTCAGACCCTATCGATATGCTCATCACCATAAGGATGAGATCGAAAGGCAGGTGAGAGAGCTATTGCATGCTGGAGAGATCACACACAGTGTCAGCCCTTTCTCTAGTCCAGTTATACTAGTTAAAAAAAAAGATGGCTCCTGGCGTATGTGTGTTGACTACAAAGCACTCAACAAGGTTACAATCCCAGATAAGTACCCCATTCCTACTATTACTGAGTTATTAGATGAATTACATGGCTCACAATACTTTTCAAAGATTGATTTGAAATCTGGGTTCCACCAAATTCGAGTTCGAAGCGAAGATACTCCCAAGACAGCATTCTCGAACGCATGATGGACATTACGAGTACCTCGTGATGCCTTTTGGCTTGACAAATGCCCCATCAACGTTTCAAGCCACCATGAATTCTATCTTTCGGGAGAAACTTCGCCATTATGTGTTGGTATTTTTTGACGATATCCTCGTCTATAGCCCTTCATGGGAAGATCACTTACTTCATTTGGCAGATGTTTTACTCTTACTGCAGGAAAATAATCTAGTTGCTCAAAGAAAGAAATGCAGTTTTGGAGAAATTTCTGTGGAATACTTGGGGCACATCATCTCATTCGAAGGGGTAGCCATGGATCCCTCCAAAGTACAAGCTGTGATTGATTGGCCCCAACCAGCTAATGTCAAAGGAGTTCGAGGGTTTTTAGGATTAACGGGCTATTATCGCCGTTTCATCAAAGACTATGGCAAGATTGCGCAACCTCTCACTGAGTTGACCAAGAAGGATGGCTTTGTTTGGACCGATGCAACCAAATTAGCTTTCACAAAATTGAAAGAGCTTCTTACCACAGCTCCTGTCTTAGCACTTCCAGATTTCATCAAGGAGTTTATCATCGAGTGTGACGCTTCCGAGGTTGGACTAGGAGCTGTACTGATGCAGGAGAAACAACCAATTGCATATTTCAGCAAGGCTCTTGCTCCTAGGAATCTTTCTAAATCAGTCTATGAGAAAGAAATTATGGCTCTTGCACTTGCCATTCAACATTGGCGTCCATATCTTTTGGGGCGTTCTTTTACAGTATATACAGATCATAAAAGTCTGCGTCACTTGCTTTCTCAGCGAATTACTACTTCTGACCAACACTGCTGGTTATCTAAGTTAATGGGGTACCAATTTGAAGTCGTGTACAAACCGGGACCGGAGAATAAAGCGGCAGATGCCTTATCTAGAATGATGGAGCCTGTGGAATTGGAGTTGTCTCATATTGTATCTAGTCCCTATTGGCTAGATTTAAGTGTGGTGAAGAGCGAATACCAAACTGATCCCGAGTTGCAAAACATTATTTCAGCCTTGCAATCTGGCCAGAACGCCTCCTCTGATTACTCTTTACATGGGGAGCTTCTGTTTTACAAAGGTAGGATGGTCTTGTCTTCTACCTCTTCTCTTATTCCTACCTTGCTGCACGAGTTCCACTCTTCTCCTACAGGGGGACATTCGGGTTTTACCAGGACCTACAAGCGGTTGGCTGGTGGAGTTTTTTGGAAAGGAATGCAGAAGCGTATTATGATGTTTGTAAGATCATGTGATATTTGCCAAAGGAACAAATATCAGACCTTGTCTCCTGCTGGCTTGCTGCAGTCATTGCCAATCCCACAGCTCGTTTGGGAGGATGTTTCAATGGACTTTATCACGGGGTTACCCAAGTCTCAAGGTTTTGAGGTTATTCTTGTGGTTGTTGATCGTTTGACAAAGTATGCCCATTTCATCCTTGTGAAACACCCTTTTACTGCTAAGAGTGTTGCTGATATATTTGTCAAAGAAGTGATACGTCTCCATGGTTTACCCCGTTCTGTTGTCAGTGATCGTGACCCTTTGTTCCTTAGCAATTTCTGGAAGGAGCTATTCCGTTTACAAGGAACCGTCTTGAAGATGAGTACTTCTTATCACCCCCAAACGGATGGACAAACGGAGGTTGTTAATCGTTGCCTTGAAACATACCTGCGCTGTTTTGCATCCGAGCAGCCCAAACAATGGTCTTATTGGATCTCGTGGGCTGAATTTTCTTATAATACTTCTTACCATAGTTCTATTCACACCACTCCTTTCTCTGCTGTTTATGGTAGGCCTCCACCCAACATTACTCATTATTTGATGGGTGAAACTCAAGTGGATCCTGTTGCTCGGGTTCTGTTTGATCGTGATGAGGCCCTGCGTCAGTTAAAGTATCATTTAACTCGTGCTCAAAATTCCATGAAAAGGCAAGCAGATGCTCATCGACGGGAGGTGACATTTGATGTAGGTGATTTGGTCTATGTTAAGTTGAGACCCCATAGACAAGTTTCTGTTTCAAGACGCATAAACCCAAAGCTGGCTGCTCGTTTCTATGGTCCTTTCCAGGTGGCAAACAAAATAGGGGCTGTTGCTTATAAGTTGCTGCTCCCTGCGGGATCCCGCATACATCCGGTATTCCATGTGTCTCAACTTAGAAAAGCTACGGGCACGGTTGTGGCAGAGGGCAGTTTACCTGAAGGACTGGCTGTGGATGATTCCCATAATCATGAACCCGAATCTGTCTTAGCAGTGCGCCATCTTAAGGACCAGGGCAGAGTGCATGAGGAATGGTTGGTCCTTTGGAAGACCAAACCAGTAGAAGAGGCCACATGGGAGAAGGCAGGTGATATACAGGGACAATTCCCAAATTTTTGCCTTGAGGACAAGGCAGAATCTATAGAGGCAGGTATTGATAGGATCACAACAATGGATCATGGGCTGGAGGCTGTTCTGGAGGCAAAGACAGAATCTCAACCCATTCATAAGAAGTGGAATGGTCCAGTTTTAGTGTATCAGAGGAGGAATAAAAAGAAAGGGGAGGGAATAGATGACGTGTAATGGTTGGTTACGAAGTTGTTATGCGTGAGTTACATGGGCAGGGAAGAGAGAGAATTAGTGGTAGTTTGTTATTTCCATTGTCTATAATAGTTTGAAGATTCCCTTAGAAGGGTATTCATGTTTTCATTCAGTTTCTACAAGAGTAGGAAGGGCTAATGAGGAGATCTCCATAGCTGGGAGCTTTGGCTCTTTTAATATTTCTGTAATCGTTTGTCTCTTTTCAATTAATATACAGATTAATTCCTCTTGTTTCGATAGGAAGAGTTTAAATCCTATCAGAATCAATTAAACCAAAAAGTTTAAGCTGTTAGGAGAATGTCAATTAATGATTTTATATTATATTTCTCTAGCACGCACTTCACATGAGAGCTCATTGGACTTGAAGGGTAGACAATGCACAGGTTCATCTCTCTGTGCTAAGAAACTCCACAATTTTAAATTATTTATTAATAAAATGAGGGGTGGTGAGGAACGAATTCATAATCACATAGGCTCTGATACCTTGCAAAGAACCAATTCAACCCAAAAGCTTAAGCTGTTAGAAGAATGTCAATGAATGGTTTTATATTATATTTTTCTAACAATTTTAATACTTTTTAGGAGATAAAAAGAGAGAGAGCAAAAGCAGCCCTCGCTATCAAGTCACTTCAAGAAAAGATGGAAGAGAAACTGAAGATAGAACTTGAACAAAAGGTGCACATTTGGTTTTTTTTGTTGGTAGTATAAGAACTGTAACCCCCCCCCCTTCTCCTCCTGTGTCTCTCTTGTGTTACTGTACGGGTTCGGACGGAGATACCACTATTGAGACCGGGCCTGGATCTTTGGAGTCCGTGTTGCCTCCCCGGACACAGAAAGGCTCGTGGAGCTTTATATGCCGGTCTGTTCAAGGAGCAGAACGGGCGGGAAATGGACTACTGTGCAAAGATGAATTTGATTTTGAATCCATTACTATTGTTGAGTAAAGCGACTACGTTCCATTAAGAGCATATTCTATTAACAGTAATCCTTAATGCACTGAAAGAGAGGGAGTCCCCCACCCCAACTACTTCTCCTCCTGCGTCTCTCTTGTGTTACTGTTATCTGTATATATTATGTAATATTTGTTAAAATCAAGTGCATCTTTGAAAATGCAGGAAATTGAAGCAGAACTGAAGTTGAAAAAAGTTCAGGAATTGGCAAAGGCAGAGTTAAATGCAGCCATAGCAAATGAGAAGTCAGCTCAAATTGAAAAAATGGCTGAAGCAAATATTAATGTGAGGCTTTTGCTAAAATCTAGGATGGGTAGATACACCCAGATTTAAATTAGTCATAGCGTAGTAAGGGTGAACTCGAATTAATTTATGAATATTCTATACGTGGCTATAGAAGAATAACTATAATAGTTCAGTATGAGTATTAAAATTTTCTGTAGCTTCTACGAAGAGTAAATTGGTTATAAAAGTCCAAAACTCAGTAATTAACTCAAAGCGTGCAAAATAACATCTAATTATGACTTCAGCTATCTTATTTGTTTTTTATCAGATTACACCCAATATAACTCTGCTTAGTAGGCAATTGAATTCTTAGTCATTACATGATGCGGAGTTTCTAAACAGAGAAAAGTTTGTTCGTCGGTGTAGATTTTTTGGTATAGTAGGTAATCAACTTTCCATCATTCTTAGCAAATATGATGCATGTTCATTACCATGGTGATACTAGAGAACTGACTTAAATACTTTAGTGTTGAGAACCAAAATAACGACAAACCTATTATTTGTTTGAATCTTCTCTGGTTTGTGACAGACCTTACTGTACATCCAAAGCAAATGTTGAATAAATTGTTTACAGACAACTTTCAGTATAGCTGCATCAAGGCTGGTGGATTCACCCTGAATGAAATTGTAAAATGTAATATAAGTCAATTTCTTGCCTTAAAATGTTTTGTCTATGGACCTGTGTTGCCTCTTCAAATGATGAACATACCACTCTAATTTTACACATGCTGATATTTGTTCTGGATATGAGCTAATCATTATTTTGTCAATGGAAACCATTATTTTCTTTTTACCAGTATGTGCTGTTAGACATCTACAGCATGGCTGCCTTGAAATTATTGAGAAAATTGTTTTCTTATGCAAACATAAGTATTGATCAATGAAAAATCGTGTTGAAAAGAACAGAACACTGGACGGACTTTTTACAGTTGCAAAGTTGACATCATACCTTAGCTTGAGAGGCTTGATTTGGAATTTTTATTGATGGACATACTTGTTGACTTTCTGTTGCTTATTTATATCTTTAATATGGCATTAATCAAAGTTGAAATTTGACTGGGTTCAAAAATTTCTTTCCGTCCAATTCTCTAGATAAATGCCTTGTGCATGGCATTTTATGCCCGATCTGAAGAAGCTCGTCAAAGTCATGCTACTCAAAATTTTGCTTTGGTAATCATTCACCTTCTTTCTTCATGCTGTTTTTATCTCAATCTTTCGTCCCTGGAGAAGCTTAATGGCAAAATGAGTTTATAGTAGTTTATTAATTTTTCTGGTCCTGCTTACCAGTTTCTTGCTACTTGTGTTTGGATCCTGCAGAAAGCACTTGCACTGGAAGATGCACTGTCCAAAGGATTGCCAATTCAGACAGAAATAGCATCCTTGCAGTCTGATCTTGAAGGCATAGATAAAGACTCAGTTTTGGATTTGGTGCTAGCATCCCTTCCTGAAGAAACACAGAACGATGGTACAGACACACAACTGCAGTTAAAGCAGAAGGCAAGTTGTGTTCTTGTCTGTTGTTGACTTTTTTTGTGAGTCTTGGATTACTAGTTCTATATAACGTTGCTACATTTCTTCTGTAAATTGTTATTATTTGGTAACCTTGTAGAAATTCTATTTGATGATCTGCTTTAGAGATAAATTTATAGGAAACATCAGAATTGACTAATGAAGCGATTTCTGGAATTATAGAACATTGTTTGCAATTTCCTGAAATGCACTTGTCTCCTACTACGTCAATTCTAGAACAAATCATATAATTTTAGATTTCAATCATGAAGGTTTCTAAATTGTACATATTCTGTTGCAGTTTGATGCCTTAAAAGGTACACTACGACATTTCAGCTTCTTTCCCCCAGGAGGGGGAGGTATATTGGCGCATTCTTTGGCACATGTAGCATCCTGGTTGAAGGTATATTGATAACTGACCAACATGCCATTTACATTTAAGCCTGTGCTTCATGTGAAAATAGAATTTGTGGGGGCAGTGATAATTGGTGCCCATTTAGACATAATATGCGCTTTGATGCATTGACCATTTTTATTTCTTTCCCTCGCCCCAACTCCTCCCATTTGCACTTCTATCGAGCTCATCCTAGAGAATAAGATGTTGACTTGGCTCGTAATTAGGTTAGGGAAGCTGACCAATCAGGTGATGGGATTGAATCAGTCATTAATAAAGTTGAGAGTTACTTGGCTGAAGGAAAACTTGCTGAAGCAGCAGATTGTCTAGAAGACAGTGTCAGAGGTACCCAAGCTGCAGAAATTGTTGCAGGTTGGGTGAGGCAAGCAAGAAACAGGGCTATTTCTGAGCAAGCTGTAGTTCTTCTTCAATCTTATGCTAATTCCATTAGCCTTACATAACTATCAAATTTTGAATATTTACAAAAACCATGTTGATTTAAATACCTAAGGCTGCAGAGATTATTATCTGGTTCTACAGAAGATGCCAACGGGAATCGCCTGAATAATTGACTCACAAGGAAAACAAATTAAACTTTTTTCTTTCATAGCAGCTGAAATTGGTTGATTCTGTGATATCTATGTAACTCCAATGCATTGGAGTTTGGACTGAAGCGATGTCAAGCTCTGTATAATTTTGCTCTTTTTTCCCTGAATGACGAAAATGTTGCGTTGCTCCCTATGGAAATTTCAATAATATACCGCTGGCGATAAGGTCAAGGTTGGACACCAAATGTGTATTAGTTTTTTAGCAAAATGTTGGATTGTATATTTGCAAGCTTGCATTCATCTTTTTCGTCAATATTTTAACGGGTGGCTAGGTTGCAACATGGCAAGCTTATTTGAAATCTGTTGGTTGGACGTATTGTGTGTAAATGACTTTGCAAACCTGATTATTGGTGAACTTGATTTTGCGAACTTAAATTTAGTAGGAAGTGAGTTTAATTGTATTAATTCGTGTTTGAAATTTTCTTAATTTGATTTTATCAAAATGAAAATTGTGAGATACTATTGATTAAAATTATTTTTCCAAGTGTTATTGCCGATAGGATATGACCTATTTTTTTTTAAAATTAATTGCTAATAAATTGATTTTGAAAAATATTGTTTATAAGTAAATTTTGAAAAATATTGTTTATAAGTAAATTAATGGTAAAATAATTTATTTTATTATTGCCAAATAAAATCACATGGAGTATAATTATAATAATATTTTAAATTTTTTAAGTTATAGTTATTGAATTATTAATAAAATTGTGATATAATATAAAAATAATAAGGGTAGTTTATGTCAATGTGTACTCAAACTGGTTTTCTTTTGACGCAAATAAACAATGTTACTTTTACGTTTAGAATATTAAAATCAAATTTGTACTCAAATGATATTTTGCTCTTATGGTTGCTAAACATATTCCTACAATGTTCAAGAACTTTTGGGATGACAAATGTGGTTTTGCTTTCGTAAACACCATCACTACAACAAAAATGTTATTTAGCCACATTTAAAAATGTGGCAAACATTGATAAAAAATGTGGTTAATGAACTTTACCTCATTTTAATTAAATGTGGCTAATAGTGGTGTTGCAATAATTTAACCACATTCTTTTATTCATTTTGCCACATTTTGACTAAGTGTGGTAGCCTTTTTTTAGCCACATTTATTGTTAATTTAGCCACTTTATAAATGTGGTTAAAGTATAGTTTGCCACAATAAACAAAATGTGGTTATTTATGTCTGAAAATAATTTTTTAGCCACATTCATATTCATGATGAATGTGGCTAAATATATGAAGTTTTTTTTTTAATTAAAAATATTTCAAATTGAATAAATATTATATCAATAAAGAAAATAATATTAAATATTGCCCGTGCAAAATAATGAACACGATAAAACGTAAACCAAACTCTAAACCCTATATCCAATTTTGGATATGTAAGTTTTTTTTATTGATATCATTGAAGAATTTATACAAAAAAAATACATGACTAAATAAAGATAATACCACTAGAAGAAGCAGAAATGTGAACAGAAAATACAAACTCAAGGGTATTGAGACCAAGCAGGGTATAATGAGACCAAGCAGGAGCATTGAATTATTGATGAATGTTAATCATATTCCTAATAAAAAATAGACTATGTCAGAACATTGAATCTTTTTGTAGTATGTAGGTGAAGCATTTTCCTATGCTTACATGTGAGTCAATACTACATAGTTCAACATTTTGGCAAAACTTAGTAGAGGTAATAGCTTAAATGATTTCTGGACAAGAGAATGAGGAAAGAAAAGAGAAGCATATAAAAATGAGTAAGATAAAGCTTTGAGTACTTCTTCAATGATTCTAGAAGGGCTGACAGCTTTGTCCATTGCAAATATTGTCTTCCCCATAGAGTTTTTCCTCCAAAGCCATGGCTTTTGGTTCATGATTTCAGGTACTGCTCAAGAACTAAAAGAGAAAACTTCATGCTATTGCACAATAACTGATGTAAGGAGAACTTCTTTTTCCTACATTAGTTTCTCTATTTGGTCGTAAAAAATTTCAATGAGTAACTCCGAAAAAAAAAAAAAACAGAACCAAAGAAATATGGGTACAGGCTACAGAATCATGAATTTAAAACTAAAACTAATTTCCTTTTTATAAATAACCAAATTCTAAAATCAAATCAGGAGAAAGTAGTAGTTTTTCCGCAGTTTCATGTTTGGTGTATAACAAGAAACAAGATGGAACCTGTTGTGAGAAAAAGGGACTGAGATGGAACCTGTTGTATTTGTAGAATTCATGATATTAGGGGGGTAAATAATGATTGTGAAAAATAGAAACCCAAATTGATGCAAAAATTCAGTAAATTCATCTTGTGTGTATATCTAAAAGTAAAATAAAAACACAGTACTAAACAGACACACAGTAAAATAAAAGAGTTATATGAGTTACCTTCAAGTGGATGAGTAAACAACAACCATGCCCTGAGAAATCAACACATCCCTCAAGAAGCTTTCCCTTTCCTGAAAAAAACACACAGTACTAAACATGCATTCTTTGGTCGGTTCCATGTAGCAAATTGTGCCATATGTAGTCAAAAAATTCAAAAAGCCACTACTCACCACTTTTCCGAAGAAAGATCCAGAAAAACCACACCTTTCTTTGATTTTTTTTAATATTTAAAGGGACTTTATTTTATTTTATTTTCATAAAATCGAAATCACATGCAGAACCCAAGTTGCATCTGTGATACTCACTCCTCATTCAATTGAAACAGTTTTTAGTAATTTTCAATGAAACCATAACTTTTATTGACAAGAAAAAAAATATAATTTAAACACGAAAATACAAAATTTGCAAGTTTAGAGTAGAGTTATAGATACATAAACCAGATGGAATAAAGAACAAAAAAAAAAATTGAAAAGCACGAAAAGAAAAAAGAATGTAAAGAAAAAAAAGAACAAAAATGGTTGATACTTGGATTGCAATGTATTAATCTGTTTTCATTATTTGATTCATGAAATGCTTACTTGTTAAATTCGATTAAACTCTAGCCAATTTTAATTAGATATTTAGGATTTGGCTAGTTAAGATTTGTTACTGCAGGGCATTCTAGATTTTGTAGTTTTAATGCAATGTTTTGAGAAAATCAAAGCTCAATCTATTTCTATATTGTGATATTTGTTCAACTCAGTTGCCATTTTGTGTTATGTTCAGTGTTTTCTTTTCTATTGTTAATCGAATTCAATTACCCTCATGCAATCACTCAAAAGCTTCACTTAGACTTCATTAACTAATTAATTTTTTTCGAGGGAAACTATACTGATAGGTTACATACACATGAGGACTCATCCCATGATTGAAGGAAGCTTAAGTGATAAAATATAAAAGGGTATATGCTACCTGAGCAAAGACCATGAGCAGGTGTGGCTTGAACTCTATGTATACAAGCACAAGAATTGGATTGAATATACAATGATAAAAACAGAGGTGGGAGGTTAAAAAATCTAAGAGAAAATAATAGCAATACAGACTTACACTCTGGAAAAAAATATGCTTTCCTTAGAGCAGGGCGTTCATAAGGTGCTACCTATGTAAGAAAAATAACAATATGAGGTTCACTTGATAGAAATTTAATACAAAATTTCAAAAGAAAAATTAGAGAGGACTGAATGCACGAGATACTACAAGGCATATGCATAATGAATCTTCACCACCTTATCAAAGAAAAAAAGAATAATTTTTATTAAAAATTAGAAAGATAAATTATTACTAGTTGTACCTAAAAAACTAGTAACAATTGTATTTATGTTAAGCGAAGAGTTTTATTTCTGCTGAGTCACACCGTTTTTATTTGACCAAACCCATTCTCCGTTTCCCACCTTTCTTGAAAAAATCAAATAAATATATATTAACTCCTATTCCTGTAGCATAACCTTTCTTAATTAAGAAGTTCTAGTTTCACCCTTTAACTTAAAAAATCCAAGATATATATAAAGAGACTCCCCCCGATTTAGAACATACAAAATATCAAATCCCAAACCTTTGCAAGCTTCTACTGATATCTCAGAACTCTGTGTGATGGAGAAGCAGCTTAAGCTGAAGAACAAGATCTTGAAGATACTACCAAAAACAGTTTCAGTAATCACTGTCACATTTCAAAACCCTTCGTTCAGCCCAGGTAGGGATCTTGAAGATATCTTAAAGATTAGTACACTAATCACTATCAAACCTGATACTCAAGTAATGGTTTCGCACATTTCGATTTGCAAGACTCTTTAAGATATCTTACTAATCTTGCAAGACATTGTCAAGATTAGTACTTAAAAGAGACAAAGAACTCAACATGATAAGAGTCATAAATCAAAGTAAATATTGATTTGGTATATGTCAGCTATTTTGGATAGTACAGTGTATCATAAATCTAGGAAATGAGATAGCCAGCCCTCATAGTTCAACATCCACGGCATATAAAAAAGCCAAAGCATACATTCAAGAACCAAAAAGTTGATGTTATTCTTATTTGAAGACAACTAATTTCTTCTTCTAGTGATGTATAATGTATAGTGTATCATCTAAATAATGCTGAAAAGAAATGTTTTTGTTGAATAAGTAAAAAGACAAAATGATATAAGCATGTCGACCCAACAAAAATAACAGAGATTGAGATTTAAAAGATACATTTCCGGTCCCAATGAATGCCACATCTTGCACAATGTAACATATCAAACGATAGAGATGAATATGGCAACTGTTTTGAAGTGAAAGAAGCAATCATAGTAGGAAGACCCCTCTCGAGAGTGAGTTGAACTTGACTGCCATAAGGCTTATAGTTTGCAATGCACATAGTTAAAAGTTGACTGTGAAAGAGGTGCGCTTCAAAACTACCATAGCCACACCCATAACCAATGTCTATTATAGTTCAAACTTGCAAATTTAAGGATGCCAGCATGCTCAATCAAAAAAACATTAGGCAAAGAATATCATAGTCAAATTTTAAGAACTCAGTTCAAATTCAATGCCTCCATAACCATCCAAAAATCTAAATCAAGTCCATCGAAGTCACATATATCCAATCTATGCGACTTGTTAATGGATACTGCAGCATAACCAATATTGTCTGTACGTGGCATTCATATAAGAGAAAGGACAAAATTGATAATCATATAATAAAAAACATAGATTTCACGCTGCAATTTTAATGAGACTAGTTTACACCCCTTCTCTGCTTAAGTTGAAATGCA